TCTACTTTTGTTTTCAGTTGCTGTTTTCTTTTGTTTACTTTGTCCACTCACTGTTTCCTGCTGCTTTCAGTCACTGTTTATTTACGTTTATGCTGTTTTCTGTCATTTTCACTTGCTGCTTACTTTCTTTTACAGTTTACCGTCATTTCCGTCACTGTTTACTTTCATTTCCCGTTGTTCTTGTCAGTCACTCTTCTGTTGTTTTCTGCCATTGTTTACTTTTTCCACTTACTGTTTACTTCTGCTTTGTATCTGCTTTCTGTCATTTTTAGCTGCTGTTTTCAGTTGCTGCTTGCTTTTGCTTTCAGTTTTCTGCCTTTTCCACACGTTTTCTGACTGTTCTGTTCTGACTTTGTTTTCTGTTGCTGTTTACTTTTATTTATTGTCCGTGTTTACCAAGGTATTCTATCTGTTTACTTTTTTTTTCGGTCAGTGTTTTCAGTAGCTGGTTTGTTTAGCTTTCAGTCACTGCTTTCTCTCGGTTGTCTGTCATTGTTTACTTTTTTCCCCGTCACTGTTGCCAGTTGTTGTTTTCTGTTGCTGTTTACGTTCATGCTTAGCTGCTGTTGTCTGTCGTTTTCAGCCACTGTTTTCACTTCTATCTAAGTGTTTCCTGTCAGTTTACGTTGGTGTCAACTGTCGCGTTGTCTGTTTACTGTCGTTTACAGCCACTGTTTTTAGTTGCTTTCTGTTGTTGTTTACTTAATTTTCAGTTGCTGATGTCAGTTGCTGTTCCCTGCAATTGTTGACTTTAATTGTCATCTGTTTTCTGTTTTTTGACACTTCTAATTGCTGCTTTCTGTTGCTGTTTACTGTTTTTAGCCATTTCCACCCTTTGTTTTCGGTTGTTGTTCGTTGTTCTGCTGACAGACTATCAGTGGTTCATGACATATTAGCCATGCTGGTTTGTTGACTTCCTGCTGACATAACCTCCATATTTGATGCGTTTAGGGCGACTCGGGCGGTCCAATGGTCAGTAAGAACGACTCCATCTGGGTTCTGGCTGGAGTGGTGAGTTTTGGGAACGGCTGCGCTGAGCCCAATTTCCCCGGAGTCTACACCCGGGTGTCACGGTACCAGTCCTGGATCAACAGCTTCATCACCACCAACCAGCCGGGCTTCGTCTCCTTCCAGCAAGATTCCGGTTCGACCACCGGGGCGGCGCCGTTCCTCTCCGTGTCGATGCCTCTGCTGCTGTCCATCCTGCCCGTCCTCTTCTCTGTCTTCGTCCTGTCATGGGAGGCTTAAAGAAGGTCGCCAGGCCAAAGACGCACTGCTTCTGACAAAACTGCCTCATATTTACGTTAATATTGATTTCTCACTGAACAAGCTAAAATTCTGCTCATGGTATCAAATATTTCCTCTTGTTTCTTGTTAATTTTCCTGTGATTTCATATTGAACTAATCCCTCCAGTTCATTTGAAAACAGTCCTGAAACAAAGTATATTGCATCAGAAAGGGGTGAAATAATCTGATCCCATCATCAGAATTTCATATTTAAATGTAGTGTTGCGCATAAAATTAAATGAACTATTAAATATGGTGAAAGTGAAATATTACAGATCTACAGAGCCCGAACTCGACCATTATAATAATCATAACCTTTTATAGTGTTTAATCATAATTCATTTAAAGAAATTGACCCTTAAAACTTTAAATAATGCATCAAAAATAAATTCAACGTACAATTCAAGCTACAACTTAATAAGTATGTTTTTTAAAACTGTCTTTAAATGATGCAACAAAGATTACATTTTAAAAACACAACAGCAAAATGTATGTGAGCTAAACTGAGCTGATTTATCTAACAGGTCATTTTATTGCTTTTTTTTATTGGTTGCCATTTTTACATTTTGTGTCACCGCAAAAGAAAAAAGTTGTGTAATTAATCAAATGAAATGTAACAATAATAACGAAGCACTTATGCAGAATTTGACCGTTTTTAAGTTACAAACTATTTTTAAAGATTTAAACCAGGAATAAAATGTTTCAGCACCGCAAATAAAGGCAAACAATTCTATTTAAAAATGACACAAAATTAAAGGAAACATTTTTTTAGATAATGACAAATGATAGAAACAGGGCTAATCTAAACTAAATTCTCTATTTTATTTTTAATGTGTTTTTTTTTTTTTAGTTTTATCATAAAATGTAACAACCATTATAAGTTTGACTTTGTTTTTATTAACTTTTTTTGCTGTGATATTTTGAAATGTATTATTGATATTAAAGTGATGTCTAAAAGCTTCTTTAAATATCATTAATTCATTAAAGTTATTTTGGCTCTCTGCAGCCTCCATGCACAACCGTTTACATGAATAGAGTTTGGACCGAAACCGATCGGTTGATCGAGTTTTTGTACAAACTTTTGACAGCTTTTAGTAATGTTAATATTTAAGGTGGGCACTGACGGCGAACCTGCGATTAGCAGCAGGGATGAAGAAGAAACTAATCTAATTTATGGACTTTATTATCTGTTCCTGATTTATTACTTTGATATTTACTGTCTTCTACTGTTTGAACTGTTATTTACTGTTAAGCACTGTACACATGAACAAATCACATAATATTTACTTTATCGAGGTAGTCGGATATTAGAAACGCTGGGCAGCAGCACAGATCTGTATTTCTGCTTTTGTAGCTGTTTTGAAGTGAAATAAAACCTATTTTCCTAACACTCGGCACTCTGAATGTAAAGTCTTGTTTGTCTCTTTTTGTGAAGTGAATGAACGAAAGTGAACCAGAAATCAAGAAACATCTGCTGAATGTTTGAGAAGTGAACTTGTGATTAGATAAGTTGAGTAAACTGGCTGCATTTCTGCTTCGTCACCAGACTTGAGCTTTAAGCTTCAGCTGCTGCAGCAGAACAACGAGTCCAAACATCCAAAGTCACAAAGAATCATCTGTAGCCACAACAAGAACCAGGACTCCTGCAGCTGATGTTCTGATCCCAATATAATGAAGTCGAAAACCAGCTTAAAACCAAGTTAATGTCCAAAACTTGCCGAACTCAAGCTCAAAATCAGTCTAAAACATTTTTAAACCAAGTTTGAAAACAGCTCAAGTCTAAAAGCGGAGTCCTGATCATGGAGTCAGTCAGAGATCACATGAACACTAAAACAGACAAAACCCAGGTCAAGACCAGTCTAAAACCCTGAAACCAGGTTCAAAACCAGCCCAAAATGGATCTAGTTTAAAATCATTCCAAATTATTCAAACCCAGTTCAACACTGGTTTAAAACCAGTTCAACAGCAAGTATGAAACCAACCTAAAACAAAGTCTAAAGCCAGTTTAAAGCAAAGTCTGGAAGTGAGTTCAAAACTAATATAAAACCAGTTGAAAACCAAGTGTGAAAATATTCCTAAATTAAATCTAGAACAAAATGAGTCCAAAGACAAGTATAAAGCCGAGTTCAAAACCAGTCTAAGCCAAACCAAAAACCAGTCCAAAACCAATCTAAAACCAGTGGAAAACCAAAGTCAGTCTATAACTAGGTCATAAGCCATTAAAAAAAAGTCCCAAACCCAGTCCAAAACTAATTATGAAAGAAATCTAAAATAAATTCCAAAGCCAAGTCTAAAAACAGTTTAAAACCAATCTAAGACCAGTTCAATACCAAGTCCAAAAATGGTCTAACCATACTCCACAATCAAGCTTAAAATTTGTCTGATGCCAGTCCAAAACCATGTTCAAAACCTAGTTTCAAACAAAGTCCAAAACTAGTGTAAATCATTTCTTAAAACCAATGTTGAAATAAGTTTAAAAGTAAATCGAAAGCGAAGTCCAAAACCAGTTCAAATTAAGTGTGAACATTAGCTAAAACCAAAGATAAACCAAGTTCAAAACTGGTCTAAACCAAACCAAAAGAAAAATCTAGTCTTAAACCAGTTTGCCAGCAGGTCTTTCTAGATGTGTACTGCGGACTCAGACTTCTTGCGGATCTCCAGTGTTGCGCCAAAAGACACGTCCGCATGCAGCGGGAGGAGCCGGGGGTCGAATCGACGACCCTGTGATTAGTGGACCACTTCAGGCTCCGTGTGTTCTGCTCTGTGTGCACAACATTCAGCAGAAACAACATGAAAACAACTGATTTTGCATTAATAAACATATTAAATTCTGTTAAAATTCTCCCAAGAACCGTTTATTCCTTATTTATTTACGATCGTAGCTCAAGGGCAGATTTTCTTTATACTTGAACGACAGAACGGTGTAAAGCCAGTAGTTCCGAGGTGCTATGAACGCAGCAGCGGTCACACGATCTGCTCTCTGATTGGACGTCCAGCAGGAAGTGAGAAGCCGCTTTAGGCTCGGTGAGAATGTGAAACTTCAAAGGGTTTTCTATTAATTTTTAAACTATTTTCAGCTCGTCCGAGGGAAAGTTCGCCGCCGAAACACTTCTGGATGGAACTTAAAGCCGCTCCGTTAGTTTTGTTCTGTTTTCTCTGCGGACTGAAGGCGGACTCAGAGGACGGAGGAGGATGGTGAGTTCACAGCTGCTTCAACACTGAACCGACACGTTATCAGGCTGTTTTAAAGTGTCACGTCTGCAGCTTGGGTTCAGTAAATCTCATGTGAAATTAATTCAACTCTATGGTAAAGTTATGGTCAAATTTAGCAGCAATCCGTGGTGTTGTGATTGAAGCGCAAACCAAACTCCATTTAAAAATCGGTCATTTTAAGAAGTAAATTCAATAAACTACAATTTGAACTGATGTTTTCAGTACCTTCCTGCTGAACCATTAATAGTAGACTAAATTAGGATTAAATTAAATGTAAATCCAGCCATTACTACATTATTGCACAATTACACGAGTACTCAGTAGAAAGTACTACGTTATTACTTTATAGTTAAGATGTACTTGAGTATTACTCACTCAGTTCATATTCACCTACAGCTGCTTTTACAGTCATAATATGCAAATACACATACCTTTATATCTGTACTGGGGGGCAAAGGTTTCTTTTAGTGAAATTTGAGCGTTTCTTGTGACCAAAGAAATGTTTGCAGTTACGATTAGACCGGAGCTGCACCGAATAATCGATCAATTTCCCTTGTGGATCATTAAAGTTGATCTAAGTCAATCAAATGAATGGCTCATTATTTTGATCATCAATTAATTGGTTTGAGATTTTTATTTTTAAGAAGAAGGTCAAAATTCTCTGACACAGTTTGCACAATTTTCCACTGCACATGTCTATGACAACGAATCGACTATACTGATCCACTGACATGCATCAGTGTCGTCCACAGTCTGATACTGACCGGCTCAGGGAGCAAACCACAACAAATCACCATGGCAACCACCCCCAGCATCAACACAACCTCCCACTAATAATAAATATATACATAAATAATGATCAATAAAAAAGTATTCTATTCTGAATGTGTTCAGGTCGCTGCCTTCAGACTTCAGCCTACAGGATGAAGGAGTTTGTAACATCGACGTGTTGGACGCATCGCAGCTCTCCTATCAGCAGTTCATCCAGAGGTACGGACACATCACAGAGAGGCTCGAAATAATCATCAGTGACATCATGAAATATGATGTCTTTGTGTTCTCAGGCTCTAAAATGATGCAGAAATAAAGCATTTGGTTGATATTTGGTTTAATATCCACCACAGTCACACAGTGAAGATTAAAGCTGAACACTGATCCCATGTCAACGTCTAAACACGACACACATGGTAGAAGTTGAAGCTAAAAGCTGTACGTTGCTGATAAACTGTTTTATTTGCCTTCAGATACGCTTACAGCCGACCGGTCGTCCTCAGAGGATTCACCGACAACACGGTGAGTAAATGAATCAGGAATCTTGGTCTCAACAAGTCAAACACTTCAGAGTTTTATTGTAAAAGCTGCAGGTTTCTGTAAATAACTAAACGTGTCGACTGACCTGCTGATGGTCCTGACTCAGTTTAACAGGATAACATCTAAACTTAACCAGACAGGATCGACTCTGGAAAAGACAAACAGCAAATTAACTTCATGTGTCAGCCTTTGTGTGTTAAAGTAATGTTTTATATCATTTCTGTTGGGCTTTAATCTCTAATTTGTACATTTCTCAGGTAAAAATGCACAGTTAATTAGTTTTATTCTCTATTAATCTTATTTATTGGAAAAACATTTGCTTGACTTAATTCCTGAAGTATTTTTTTAAACTCATTTTGTTTATTTATTGAGAATTTTCGACTGCCCTACTGTGTGTCTTTGGTGTGTTTCTTAAATATTTTTTATTGTGTATTTTTCTTCTTTCTTTCTTTTCTTTTTTTTTTAATCGATAGATGCTTTTCAACTTCCTGCTCTGTCTGTGGTGCATCTTTTTCAGCTTTTAAAATTGTATTTTACTTTATTTATCTTACTTTTTAGTTTTTTTTTATTGAATAATATAATATATTTGTTAATATTTTTTATTATGTATTTTTCTTCTTTTTTTTAATCGATAGATGCTTTTCAACTTCCTGCTCTGTCTGTGGTGCATCTTTTTCAGCTTTTAAAATTGTATTTTACTTTATTCATCTTCCTTTTTAGTTTTTTTTTTTGAATAATATAATAATAAATGTATTTATCAAGCTTTTGTGTTTTATTTTATTTTTTACTATTAATATTTATTGATGGATATTTTCTGACTTTGCTGCTCCGTCTGTGGCTTTCAGTTTCTGTGTAATTTCCTTTTTTCCTGTTTATTTACTTATTTATTTTTGTTTATGTTTTTATTGATTTAATAATGGGTTTGTGGGCTTTTGGTTATTTATTCATGTATTGACCGACTGATACTTTCTGACTGCACTACTCTGTGACTCCATTTTTCCTTTTTATTTTAATTTTTTAAAATAATTTTGTTTATTCAGCTTCTCTGGCTGTGACTCACCATTTGTTTTTGGTTTTTGGTTTATTCAGTTATTGACAGAAACTTAAATTAAAACAAATTCACTAGTTTTATGTGTTTGACCTCTTTTTCTTTATTAAGTTTTTATTTATTAGTGTATTGATTCTTTCTTTTCCCTGCTCTGTCTTGCAGTGCTCAGGTTTTTTTTTAATTTATTTATTAAAATGTATTTAATTTATTCGTACAGAAATTCCAGCTGCTTTGCTCCAAGTCGACTTTGTTGAAGGAGTTCGGCTCTCGGACGGTGAAACTGAGCACAGCCAACACTTACTCCTACAGGAAAGGTAACGTATTGATCCTCTCTGATCCGGGTGTTTCAGTCTATATTTACTGATCGATGTGTCTCAGTCTGTATTTATCGATCCATGTGTTTCAGTGGACGTCCCCTTCCAGCAGTATGTGGAGCTTTTACTGAGGCCCCAGGCTGCAGAGGCTCTCGGCAGCGGTGAGATCAAAAAAGTTTTTTCATTCTGGTCTTCAGACACAAACATGTCGAAGCTTTTTAGAAAGTTCCTGAAGAAACAACCATGATGTTGAAGTTAACAGAGAGAAGCTGCAGATTAATCCTTTAAATAACAGGGTTCATCCTATGTGGAGCAGGAACATGTAGAGTAAATATCCAGCGATGAAGTGAACTGAGCTCAGGAGGATTCTGGATGTTTCTGACTCTGTGTTCGTGTCTTTGTTCTGCAGACACTCTGTATTTCTTCGGTGACAACAACTTCACCGAGTGGCAGAGTTTGTTCGATCAGTACGAGTCTCCACCGTTCGTTCTGCCCAACACCAGCGGAGCGTTCAGCTTCGGCATCGCAGGTCACATGATACACTCAACTGGTTTCAGATATCGTACTGACAGATCAACGAGGCGATCCAGACAACAATGAGAGAAAGAAAACTAATGAAAATCGTTCCGTCTTCTCCTCCTTCAGGTGCTGGAACAGGAGTTCCCTTCCACTGGCATGGTCCTGGTTACTCAGAAGTCATCTATGGACGAAAAGTAAGACTTCTGTCCAAGTAATAGTAAAAGTATGAGATCTATGGTAGTGATTTCTGAAAATACCAAGTGGTGACTTCTGATGTTTTAGTGGTGATTTTGCATCTTTTGTCACGATTTCATGTGTTTTTATGTTGATTTTATGCCTTTTCATGTTAATTTTGCATCTTTTTGTGGTGCTTTTGTGTCTTTTTTTGGGTGTTTTTGCACCTTTTGTTGGGATGTTGTGTGTTTTTGTGGTGATTTCATTTGTTCTGATGTGGACTGCATGTCTTCCTATGTTCATTTTACACCATTTCGTGGTGCTTTCACATCATAATCCAATAGATATCAAAGGACATTAGATAAAAGAAATCAACACACTGTTTCACTGTTAAAAAGAAAAAAAAACACACACACACCTACAGCAGACGTCCTCACACACAACACAGCCTGAACAATCAGCAGACTCGGAGTCTAACCAACACACGATCAGCTGTGCTTCACCACAGGGAGCTTCAGACTCTTTTCCCGCCTCAGTTAACCCTGTTTCTAATGAACTCTGAATCTTTTTGTTTTTCCACAGCGCTGGTTCCTCTTCCCACCCGATAAGGAGCCTCACTTCCACCCAAACAGAACCACCCTGTCCTGGGTGACGGAGACCTACCCAAACCTGCCGGAGGAGGAGGCTCCAATGGAGTGCACCATCAGACCCGGAGAGGTAACAACATCCTCCTGAGGTCTGACTTTAAAACTCACATTTAGCAACGTACAAACTCCAGACTCACAAAACAAAAGGAAACTTTAAATCCTTGTTCAGATAAGTGTTCCAGAGATGCCACATACTGTATAAACACTGGGGTGAATGTGTTCACCAGAAACTCATGTACACTCTGCACTGTGAGGTGGTTTATGAGAAATAAGAGTCAGATGGAGGCCAGCATGTTTGGTGTCAATCTGAGCAGAACGACCACAGTGAACGTAGACAGTGAACGTAGACAGTGAAGCACGAAGGTATTGTAAATAAAAAAAGACAAAGTTTCCTACATTTAGATGCATAAATTGTGCATGTAGAGGAGATATGCTGAAAGTTAAAAACAACTTTTTACTGAATATTTTAAGGGGTCAGAAACGCCCATTGACGACTGTTGTGAACTAAAAACGATCCAAAAATGAATCCAACTTAAACGGCGACTGAATACAAACTATGCAAAGCCTCGTGATTATTTTAAAGTTTAAACAGAGTTTCTACTGTCGAGTATGTCAGAGCTACAGGACTCTGAAGACGACTGTCTACTGATTTCCCATCGTTTTGTCACCTCTGCCAAGGAGGTTACGTTTTAGCCAGCGTGTATCTGGTTGTTTGTTTGTTTGTTAGCAAGATAACTCGAAGAAAAGTTAGGAACGTGGTGATGTTCTGGCTTACCATCTGGTTATTCTCTTATAAAACAGTAAATGCTGTTAAGTGTCACAGTTGTGCAGAATGCTGTTGTTGCGCCATTTGTCCACTAGATGGAGCTCTGCCTCCATTCAGTCCTTCAGTCCTCACCGCTATCTTCTCAGTAGTACAGGAGGAAGCTACAGCCAGTCAGCCTTACAGGCGTGGGCTGAGCAGAGATGCTGACACATAAGTTCATAACTACTTTTGTGACATTAACGATGACTCAGCATGTCTCCTCTTCTTTTTGGTTCCTGAAGACATTTGACCTTTGTCATATCACATCTCAGATTGAGTCCAGTGTGTCTGCTGTGAACCGGGTCAACCACAGCGACACAAAAACAGGATAGATATCAGAGCAAGATCTCAGTCCACAATGACATCATTTAGAGACACAATCTAAGGAGGCCTCACTGTCACAAAACATAAAATCAGTGTTTTTGTTGTTTCTCCACCAGCTGCTGTATTTCCCCGATCGCTGGTGGCACGCAACCCTCAACCTGGACACCAGCGTTTTCATCTCCACCTTCCTGGGCTGAACTCAGCTCTGTGCTCCTTTCTAAAAAGAATTCCTTTTTAAAAATCAGTTTCTCTTCCGTCGCAGGCTGACCGGAAAGTAAACCGACTAGTTTTTCAGGGACAAACAATGAGCTGTGACCAACTGTGATCTTTGTTAATTATTTTTTGATACAGACTGATGCACTTATGTAATTCCAGACGAATGTTTTTAGCAGATTGTCGCCCTTAAATGTCAACAAGCTTTCCAACAATCGTTATTTTAGAGTGTATTTAAAGAGCTCAGCAGCTGAACTTCTGTTATAGAGGCTGAGTTAAGCTCCTGAGTAACAAGAGATCAGGGAAAATGTGTTTGAAGTACTTGAAAATACGCGTGAAGGCCACTTGTAAGTGGAAGCAGGGTTCAGTTTTTACAGTTTTCAGTCTCAGTAATTCACACAGTGACCAAAGTATGTTTCACCGTTACCATGAGGTCCAGTAACTGCAGCTGTAGAGAGTTTAAAGTGTAGAAACTTGCAAATAGCGCATGTTTTATGGGGCTTCTTTTAGGGTTTAAACAAAGTCCACATTGCAGAGTCACCGCCTCTAACAGCACATTTAAAACAACAAAGTTCTTTCCAATAGAGGAATAATATTAACTTTAGAAAACACGTTTAAATATGGAGGATGGGACCACCTACTGCTTTACTTATCACAAAAATGGAAAACTCTTACCTAAATGTTAAGAACTAAATACCAGACCATATTACCCAACTAAAATAAGAATTAGAGTTTACAAAATCAGACGTGGAAAACTCAACGCATCCTAAGCTTCCCTCTGAGCAGCTGCAGGCAGAACCAGGCTCAGGGAGGTCAGACGTCTGCCTCGACTGGTTGGGTCGAGCGTGAAGACAAAATGGAAAACAGATACCATCCATCCATCCATCATCTATACACCGCTTAATCCTCACTAGGGTCGTGGGGGGGCTGGAGTTTATCCCAGCTGACTGAGAATTTAGAATCACCAATTAACCTCAACATGTTTTTGGACTATGTGGGAGGAAGCCGGAGAACCCGGAGAGAACCCACGCTGCACGGGGAGAACATGCAAACTCCACGCAGAAAGATCCTGGGTGTCCTCACCGGGATGCGAACCGGCGACCTTCTAGCTGTGAAGCAACGGTGCTAACCACTGAACCTCCTTGCAGTGAAAACAGACACATAAGTAGGAATAAAAAAAAAAAAATAGACCAGAAACTGACACAAGCAGCTCTTTTTGTTTCATATGTGAATGTAAATTGTGTTGATATTCTGCTTAAACAAGATTTTGGTACATTTTTACCAAATGCTTTTTTACCCTCTGAACCCCAAAACCCACTGGCCGGTACAGGCAGCATGTTCTCTTTTTGAAAAGTTGCACCATTTATCAGCTAGAAACTGTAAAACAGAAAGAATCAGATTTCACATGTTAACTCTTGGGGGGAATCCGTCATTCTAGTTGTGTTTTACTGCACAGACGACATTTTGAGTTGTATGTTTTGTTTAATTCCATACATTTAACCCCTGAGATACATGTTTTATATTTATGTCCTTTAATGATTTTTAATGAAGAATCTATGAAGCTAAATAACTGTAACAATCTGTGCATGTGGATCAATAAAGTGACATAACAGATCAATAAACTGAGATAATAGATCAATAAACTGAAGGACAACTTATTGATCTGTTTGCGCAGATTTCCCCACAAACCCCTGAAGGGCTCTGTAGGTTTTTATTTACCATCTGTTGTAATGAAATATCTTGAATTACACTTAATAAATGGATAAACCTGAACAGAAGTGACGTGTGTGTTTTTATAATTTCTGATCACTGAGCACATAGAACTGAAGCTCAAGAGTAGAAAACATGAAGGTTTATTGTGTCGGAACATTTTCAAACAGCAGCAGATGATTTAAAGCCTGAATCTAAAAATGTATTTTCTGGTAAATCTGCTCCCTTCTAACGTCTGCAAAATCTTTTAACAAACGCAGAAAATCATCAGACTTTAAAGCTGGAGAGTAAATAACACATTTGAAACAAACATTAAAACAGCAAACTTGTGCACGATTTAGCAAGCAACCCGAGATAAATATCAGTTTACGAACTATTGTCTGATGCTGATAAAAGATGGCGACACAAAGTCTGGAAACTTAGACAGAAATCAAACCTGTAACAGTGTCAGAATTCATTTTTTCCCCCCACAAACCTGCACAGAATCTAAATTTACTGATCAACATATAAAACATAAACTGGTCCTTCCACCTGCTGATTCCAGCTACTGTCCAGGTGTAAAGTTTCGTCTCTTTCTGTTTGCCAGCAAACACAACATTTATCTTTATTTACAGTTGAAATGTTCAGCTCCAGGTTTAATGTGATTATTTTTCAGTGTGATTGTAGTGTGTCGATCCTTGGAGGATGAACTCACAGATCTGTGATCAGTCTGATTTTAAACGGATTCAAGAGGAAAAAGTGTTTTTCGTTAACGCAACCTAAACTACACTGAGTTCATGAAACATTGGTGTTGTAGAATAAAAGCCTGTCTGACTTCACGTTCAGCTCTGAACACACTGACTTGTCCTCAGTAGTCTTCCACCCAGCCGTTCTCCAGAATAAAAGCATCGATGACCTCCTTCATGGCCAGGTTTGGGATCAGCTGGTCCTGGGTCAGTGGAGTTCGCGTCACCGGGTCAAAATGGCCGACTCTCTGCAGGAAGAGCGTCCAAGTTTAAACTCTGATTTTAACAGTTTGGTTCTGCTTTAATGTGCAACCCCCCCCCCCCAATGCAAAGAGTTAAATCCTGTCAACAAGTCATGAAAAAAACAGTTGAAATTGTCCCTTAAAAGTAACAGATAAAAACTGTACACAAAAGGAGTACATCCCTGTGCAGTATCACATAAAATATAAATGAAATGAATAAACTACCACAGTGAATGCACAGTCCTGACAGTGAAGCACAGAGGCAGCTTCTGTCTCATTGGCCATTTGTGCGTCTTTGTTGTCGTTTGGGAGAAATCTGTAGTGATGTAGTTTTTATCTATTTATGTCTGTTTTGTGTGTTGTTGTCAGTACGAGGTGTGTCAGAAAAGTTCCAGGACTGGTGTCACAAAAGATATATTTCAAACTACGAACTACCAGTTTTCCCCTTCAGACGATCAACCAGCACGTCTACAAAGACATCCTGCGACGTTTGCTTCGTTCGCGAGAAGAGGCGAGAGTTGTGTCAGGACAAGTCGTGGCTGCTTCACCATGACAACACGCCTGCTCACAATGTCCTGAGCATCCCACAGTTCCTGGCTGAGAAGAACATCTCCGTGCTGGAGCAACCTCCCTACTCACCCCACCTGGTTCTGTGGGATTTTTTCCTCTTCCTCAAGTTCAAGGGGGTCATCAAGGGGACCCGTTTTGAAGACGTGGACGACATCAAGATGGCTGTGACGACGGAGCTGCAGAGAATCCTGGAAGAATCCTTCCAGGAGTGCATGGCGGCAGAGAAGGCTGGAGAAGGGTGTTAGACTCCAGGAGGATTACTTGGAAGGAGAAAAGTAGTTTGTAGTTTGGATATGAAATCTATCTTTTGTGACACCAGTCCTGGAACTTTTCTGACACACCTCGTACGTGTCACTTTGTGGTAATTTGTTGCTTTGTTGAGGTTTTGCGTCTCTCTATGGCTGTTCTGTGTCTGTGGTTGTTATATATGTCTTTTTGGTCATTTTGTGTCTCTTTCTAACCAGGACCACCACAGTGAACGAATAGTCCAAACAGTGAAGCATGGAAGTACTTTGTATCTTTTTGGCCATCTGTATGTCTTCGTGATCATTTTGTGTCTCTTTGTGTTCAATATGTGTCTGTTTGTGGTTGTTTTGTGTCCCTTTGTGGTCATTTTTTTCTCTCTCCTGACCAGGTCTACCATCGTGAATGCATAGTCCTGACAGTGAAGCCCATAGATGGGAGTGTGATGATATGGGGCTGCACAGTGTTCCAGTACCACATTTATATAACTAAGAGTTTATGATCTATTTACAGGAACATGTTTGGAATATTGGATAGTGTTTATGGAGAGGTACTTTAACTCACGAGCTGATGCTACATTATTATAAACACTTACATCTGCATTATTTTTTTTCTTATTGCTTTTGAGTAAAATAAAAATTCATTTGTTGAATGTGTTTTCATATTAATTTGACATTTTTTAAGCACTTTGTAACCTTGTTTTCAAAAAGTTCTGCACAAATAAAGTAATCAATATTGGCTCAACTTTGGTTTGATGCTAACATTTTCATTTAGTGACATTTAAAAGGTTTAATTTTTATAATGAGGAGTTTTGTTGTTGAAACTCTGCTGTAGAAATCCTCAAACACAGTAAAGGTGTGTCTGGATCGGCCCTGTGCAGTTTCAGTCGCTGATTCGTGGCCAGTTTTTACCTGCAGATGCTCTTCGATGTCTTTTCGGTCGTACGTGACTCCACTCGGAGTGATGCAGGGCTCCCTCATTAGCTCGAAGCTGATTTTTCCACACAGGAAGTCTGGAATCTCACGCTTCTGTCAAACACACAGCAGACAGATTTCTTTTATCAAATCCTCTGAGTGTTGATGTCAAATAAAAGCTAACTTTGTCTCCGTGTGTCAACAGATGTTTGGTTTCCAGGCAGCGACACTAACCTTCCTCTTCTCGTCTACTTGACAGAAAAGCTCCTCCATGTCTGAGAGATATTTATCCTGAAGAAAAACAGGCTTTTTTTACTTTACAAATAATCACATGTAAACAGGCTGAGGGTTAATAATGAAATATGAGACACTGAAGCAGACATGAAACTACAAGAATCAACACATACTTCAGTCAGAATAGAATGTTTTCAGTCACTCGACTCCAAACCATCTCAGCTTGTTGTGTTTCTGCAGGAGTCAAGTTCACGCTGATGTCCTGCTATTTAACGGCTACAGAACTCAAAGAACTGACTTCCGACAGAATCATCAAACCTACATGTTTTGTGTGGATCTCATTGAGACTGTGTTGAACTCTGCCGTCGTCCGATTTGTCCTCTTGTCTCTGTCTGCAGCCCTCCAGCTCTCTGAGGATTACACATGTACTTATTTTACATTTACAAACCAACATCCACTAGAAAACAACACAGAACTAAATGTTTTTTGAAGAGGTGCACGTCTCTGGTAAACATCTTGTTATTATCCTTCAAAAACACGTGAAAAAATAAAGCAAAAAATAACCAAATACAACCTGGAACCCCAAAAGAAAACAAGCCTTGTTCGTATTTTCTTTTTAGGATTATTATCAGACATCCAACTTTTCCACATAAACCCATTTTTCTAAATAATCAGGTCACTGAGCTATTTTGCTATCACAGGCCTGGACCTGCCTCTTTTTCTCAGCCAGGATCAGTTTGGTGAGGTAGGCGTGCAGCTCGCTCTCCTGGTTGATCCTTCTCTCCTCCATGTTGTTCCAGCGTTTCTTCTTTGCCATCCGCAGAGCGCTGGGAATGTCGTCGCCGAAGTTCAGCCGCTGCTCTTTGGCCAAGTTATACGCTGGACCGAGAAAACCGAGAAGTGAATGTTAACTTTTCATCTGTTTTAAGTCACTGGTGTTATGATTGAACACATTCTACAATTTGTTAGTAATAGTATATGTATAATAGTATTTTGTTTTATATATTGATGAAAGATTGATAAAAAAAAAAAAAATTCTATCAATTGTAAAATATTATGTGTGTATATACTATATATATATTTATATATAATTATCATTTTAGAATTTGATCTTACAAGCTGTTATCCTGTTGTGTTTTACTTTTTTAGTGTTTTATATCTGTTGTATTTAAAGTTTTGTTCTTACAATTTGTTTTCCTTCCTTGTCCTGACACTTTAGTATTTTATATTGATTTTATAATTCAAAGTGAAGCAAAGTGGCTATTTATCTGTAACTCTGACTGTTCCAGGTAAAAAGTTGAATCCTGTCAACAAGAAAAGACTCTTTAGACCAGTGATTCTCAACCATGGGGCCGCGGCCCATTATCGGGCCCAAGTGCTGCCTACTGGGCCGCGAAAAACTTTAAATTCTGCACCTGTGGGCTGCAGGATCCCCCACAAGCCAGCCGCAATTAATTAAAATTATGGAAAAGTTTTTAAAAATAAAAAATGACGATGGAAGTGATGCCACCCCCTCCTCAAAGGCGAAATTTTGCGCCAGTATAACCCTGACTTTATTAAGTTTGGTTTTGTGAATGGAGGTAGCGAGGCAGAGCCGAGAGCCCGGTGTGTAGAGGGTGGGTTAACACTAGCCCACGAAGCACTGAAGCCTTCAAAGCTACGGCGGCATCTCAAAACCAAACATCCAAAGCCAGTTGGGAAGCTGGTGGATTTTTCAAAGAGAAAAGAAAATGGGCTACAGCAATAATATCACTTATTTTACAAGGTTTTAGCTTGTTAAACTGTAAGTGGACTTGATTTAGTTTTTGAATTCAAATCAAACCAAGACTCGGATTAATTGAAATGAAAGTGTTCATACCTAAATGGGCCTGGGCCACTTTGTACTGGGAAACCTGGGCCTAGGGGGTCAAAGAGGTTGAGAACCCCTGCTTTAGACTCTTTAAAGCTGTTAACACTGAGGTTGCCGTCATCTTGTTTGAACAACCTTTATTGAACTGAGTGGCCACAACGAGGTGAGGCTTCGTGCTCTAATTATGACGAGTTCACCTCATACAAGATTCAGAACGATCACAGAGCTTTAAATGCTAAAAATGCTGGCACGCCGTAGCTCTGCTAAAACCTTCTGGATGGAACTAGAAGCACCAGAGTTTCCACATCAACATAAAGACGCCTCTGTGTGGTTCTCAGCAGAACCTCCTGTACTGTGACCAAAACCCCTCGTACCTCTCTGCAGGTTGCCGATGGCCTCGTCGTAGTTTTCCATCTCCAGGTGACACTGACCCATGAAGAAGTGAGCTTTGACCGACTGGCTGTCGAACTCCAGGGCGTTTCTGCAGTCAGTCAGAGCTTTATCGTACTGCTGCAGCTTCACGTAGCACAAAGCTCTGTTGGTGTAGAAGGCCGGGACGGACGGACTGTGGTTCTGCAAAACACAAATACTGACTGTAGGGATCCAAGTTTTTCTATGTGTCAACCAGCCGTGATTTAAAATGACGCTGTTTTATTGCCAAATCCCCAGTAGCATGAGGTCAGGGAGAAGTCGTTCTCTCATCTCAAAATATAAGATAATGAAAATATATCCTTTGATTAAAAACACTGAAACAGCGACTTCATAAACGCAGCTGTTCTTATCAACAAGGCCAGAGATCCTCAGTGACTCTGCCTCCCCCATCCTCCACCACAGACAGTGACTCAGTGCTTTACATCGCACCTCTATGGAAGCACAACAACCACGAAGACGGAACTCAGAAATGTCTTCTGTGATGTATTTCTTTCACATTTTTGCCATTTTGTGACACTTCAGAGACTGAACAAGTTTAAATGTAGGGATTTTTCAGCTGAAATGCAGGCAGTGCTCACAGAGGAGATAAATATAGAAGTTGATTCAAAATGTAAGCAGTAAAATATTCACACCATGTCAGCTCTTTTCCAGTCTTGATAACTTGTCTTTATTTTAGATTTGCGTCATTATAACGATGTCATTCTGCACAGAAGACATTTCTGAGTTCTCTCTTCTTCTGTATGGATGTGTCTGCTGAAGGAGTTCAAAGGGTTAACCAGATTTTTTCACACTAAAAGGCCTTGAAGTGCAATTCCAAGATAACATTTGAGAGCTATTTTTAGGAGAAACACACACACACACACATTATATATATTCAGACACTGCTGTTGCATATAAAGTCACATTTTGTTCTTACTATGGCTTTGCTGTAGCAGGCTGCAGCCTCCAGGTATTTGCGGCTGAGGAACAGCCGGTTGCCCTGCTCCTTCAGCTCCTGAGCCGACACCGACGCGCTCTTCTCCGGACTCTCTGACATGTTGTCCACGAGGCTCGCTGCTCCACCGGCAGCTGCCTCCTCACTTTGCTTCCCAATTCTGACGCTCAGATCCAGCAGGAGGGACGGAAACTGACGTAAAAAGATCGTGCGATTTTCATTCAATCAAAATCCTGAATGGAAAACTTTTTCACAGCAGGTTTTACATCCCAACATGTTTGATACTAGATTATATTTGTTTTTTTTAAAAGCTTGTAAGCAAAATACTGATGTACTTTACATTGAACCTGATAGAAAGCTACTGGCAGCTGGCTTAATCTGGTCATGATCGTGGGTTCTCTCTGGGTTCTCCAGCTTCCTCCCACAGTCCAAAAACATGTTGAGGTTAATTGTTGATTCTAAATTGTCCGTAGGTGTGAATGTGAGTGTGCTTGGTTGTCTGTCTCTAAGTGTAGCCCTGTGATAGACTGGTGACCTGTCCAGGGTGTCCCCTGCCTTCACCCTGAGTCAGCTGGGATAGACTCCAGCCCCCCATGACCCGAGTGAGGATTAAGCGGTGTATAGATAATGGATGGATGGATGTGTGTTTAATTGTAGGTAGAATGCTGCTGCGACACTGAAATTTCCATGAGGGGAGCAATTAAGTCATTTATCTGTTTTTCTTTAATCAAGATTTTCCATGCAGGACCTTCACTTCTAGTAAAGTATTTCTACAGTGTGGTATTAATACTTATATATATATATATATATACATCACATACACTACTCGTCACTGTACAGCCCCAGAGATAGCAGACACACCCCATTTACATCATATCTGAGTTAATAAAAGTCTTTATGAACTCTAAATGCTCCACACAGACCATATCCTTCTGTTTTTTGTTTCAACATATTGTTTCTTTCTCTCTCTCTCTGTGTGTGTGTGTGTGTATCACTGCAGCCATATAGAAATGACACACTGATTTAATTCACATTTCATATATATATATATATATTTGTGCTGCTGCTGCCCTGAATCACTGCTAACATGTAGCTAACGTCTGTCACCCTTCATCTCTGCTGTTTCCACCATGTATCATGTTTATGAGGTTTGTTGCAGCTTGTTTGAATTCACGCTGTCAGACATTATAACACTACTGAACATGATGAAGAGCATAACACTAGCATCACATCGGTAAGCTAACGGTGAGCTAACAACATATTTCCCCGTCATGTTCACCTACCTGGGGATTCTGTTTGATCACCACCTTGACACTGAAGCGGTTAAGTATGATATGAAGATACAATTATATACTACTGAGCAGGTTAATGTAATATAAGATGGTGGCTAACTAATTAGGCTACCTACCTGCCGCTAGCTACAAGTTGTATTGATGTTATGAAGCTAACAGATGTTTTGGTTTTAATCAGTGACGAGAAACGCGTCATCAGGCGGCACGCTGTACGTTCATTGGCTTTAAAGATGTCTGCACAAACCCGGAAGTTTACAGAACCTGACTGAGAATCACCCAATTTTTAAGATTTATTCAGTTTAAAAGTAATTCAGTGGTATTAGTCTGGACAGTCATGAGTACATAGCGAAAATAAACGTTTTTAAGTGAATTCGGCGTGTTTAATTTTCCAAAATGTGAATAAATATAGGTTTTCTTTTCTTTAAAAAAAAAATAAAACGGAGCTGTAGGCATGTCCTTAGACAGGAGCTGGAATGGTTCAGAGCTCACCTGAGAATCATTAAGTTTTGAAGATTTCTTCAGTGTTTAAATAATTCACTGAAGCTGTGAGTACATGCGAGCTTACAAATAAAAAACAAGCTGTTAAAAGTTAATTCGGCGGATTTAATTTCACAAAATGCGGGCTAATACAGGCTAAAACAAATAAAACGAAGTTCAATTGGGGAGCAGACAGTGGGACGCTTCACAGTCTGCTTGAGATAAGGTTTTTATGACTTCTTAAGTGTCAAACTAACGATAGTACTGAGATCATCCATGATTATATATAAAATAGTAATCTGTTAATAGAAACTTCGGCAATTTAATTGGACAAAATGGCACAAAATAATAGGTTAAAACCAAAGTTCAGTAGCAGGAAGGGGCAGGAATTTGAAGGCTGTAGAACTTGCCCAAGAATCATCACGTTTTTAACATTTATTCTGTGTGAAAGTAATTCATTGGGACTTGTCAGTATTTCCAATAGTACACAGCAAATAAAATTGTTAATATCTAATTCGGCTTATTTAATTTTGACAAATGTGAACAAATATTGGCTAAAAACATCTGCAGCCCCCGAGCACATCTGTACAGACACTTACTGTGATAGAAGGTCTTCAATCAACAAGAAATCAGTCATTTCATTTTCAAATGTAATTTATTTTCCCTTTGCTGCTCCTTCACATTCTTTATCTTACTATATACACATGTATATATATATATAATATATATAAACTTTATTATAAAGTAGCTACTGAATGAACACAGAATACAGTAAAAGTCAAACCTGAATGGTAAAAAATGTAAATATAACACACTGAATCACAACAAAACACATACATTTCTATTTCAACCCTGCAAATATAGCAGATAAGCTAAAGATCTAGAGGAGCGAGACTGTTTTTTTCGTTTTTCATTGAAGCATTATAACAGCTTTCAAACATTTGCATAGTTGTTATGTTCTATTATTGTGATGGTAGTTTTAGATTTAGGAGAATAAAACACTTTCTTTTCTTCTGCACTTAAAAACCTTGAAAGTAAAACAGAATCCAGCATAGTTTATAAAGTTGATAAAGTGCTAACGCTGCCCCACAGCAGGTCTCCACTGAAACTCTAAAACACTTTATTTATGAACATTTATTAAGACTGCAGGAAAACTGAGAGGAATAAACTCCAGACAGTTTCTAACTTCTACTCATCTACCAACAGTGCAAATAAGACAGTTTGGACCTGAAAACCACCCTGTGACGTGAGAGATAAAGTGCATCATGTGTTTTCTAACATTTTCTAAAATGTGGACGGATGTGCAGCTTCTGGCTCATTTCTTGGAGGCAAAGCTGCACCGAAGACAGAAATAAATATTCTCACTTTTTATCCTAAAACAGAATATATCAGAGTTTTTACCAGAAGAAGTTAAAGAGTATTTTAAAAAAGAAAGAAATATCATAGAAATAAAGCTAACTTAAATATATTGTTATTTTATTTGTCAGTATTTTTAATTCATAATTATTTCTTAAATTGATTCATTTGATTTTTCATTTCAATTTTCTTTTACTTATTTGTACTTTTAACACTTTCTTTTTGTTTATCGACTTTTTAAAAATGTAATCAGTGATAATTATTTCTTCAATTAACTGCTTTTCTTTTTCTTTTTTTCTTTTTCTTTTTAACATCTTTTTGTACATATTTTGTGTTGTTGTTGTTGTTAAACTTATCAACAGTCAAACTTCACTCCTTTATCGTTTTAAGTCAATGTTTTAAATTATATGAAGGATGTTGGCAGTTTAAGTTCTGTGTAGCTGAAACAAACACTCACAAAGGACAATGAAGTGAATCCTAAATTCTAATCTTGTGTTGCACTTCAGACAGTGTAAGTTCCCTGCGTTCAAAACAACAGAAATTAATTAGAATTTGTTTTAAAAAATGACTTTTAAGCCCGTCAGCACTGTGTCTGTCCACAAACTATATAATCTACAGAAAAAACACAGAGTTTCCATGACGACGCTCTGTGAGAGAAACAGTCAATAATATTAAAACTTCAGTGTGGAAAACTTTAAAAACTCTAAATGATAAATGATCACTTACAGAACATGAGCTTCTTATTTGTACTTTAGCGGCTGACCAGCGAAGGTTTAACATCTGAAATATATTGGTCTCCACAGTTTTTCTTAAACACAGTAAAATATAAGTTGTTGCTTTGATTTAAATAAAACTGAAAGTCAATAAAATTGTCATATCACAAGTTTTATTGATGTGAACTTTGGTTTATTTAGATTTTTTTTTCAAAGTACTTTGAAACTGAAAACTTATCTCAGCGTTTAATGACTGAAATCTGTTGTGTAAACATTTAATTAAAATCTGTCAATCTGTTGACATGTTTTCCCTCATAAATTTGCAACTTGAATGCAGTAATGCAATTTTTCATAACGGTTCCCAAGGAACTGTGAGTATTTTTCTTATAAATTTATGACTGTATAATCTCAGGGAATGATTTAGATTTTTTCCAGTAAATTTAAAATAATATTCTGACAAATTCTTAGTTTCTTCTTACAAAAGATAATTTCTGATCATGTTCTTGCAAATATTTGACTTGATAACCTCAGACAATATTTTTTTTTTCTGTTAAAATATGACTTTAAAATCAGAAACTCAGAATAAAAAAAAAATAAAAGTCAAGCTTTTAAAATATTACAGACTGTTGTGTAAACATTCGATTAAAATCATTAATTAAGTGTTTTTCTAGCAAATTTACAGTTTTGATCTTGGAAACTCTCTTTTTTTCAAAGAAATTGAGATTTTGAAAATAGACTGGGGCTGCTAAGTGGTACGGTGGTTAGCACTGTGGCCTCACAGCTAGAAGGTCACCGGTTTACGTCCAGGTGAGGACACCCAGGATCTTTCTGTGGAGTTTGCATGTTCTCCCTGTGCAGCGTGGGTTCTCTCCGGCTTCTCCGGCTTCCTCCCACAGTCCAAAAACATGTTGAGGTTAATTGGTGATTCTAAATTGTCCGTAGGTGTGAATGTGAGTGTGCTTGGTTGTCTGTCTCTAAGTGTAGCCCTGTGATAGACTGGTGACCTGTCCAGGGTGTCTCCTGCCTTCACCCTGAGTCAGCTGGGATAGACTCCAGCCCCCCACGACCCTAGTGAGGATTAAGCGGTGTATAGATAATGGATGGATGGATGGAAAACCCTGTTTTACTGTAAATGTAAAGTTTTTGAATGTGATTTTGGTATCCATGCTACCAGATTTGTACCATTTTTTTTTCCTTTCCGGAATTTAGTTCTACAGTGTAGTCCACCACTAAAAACTGTTTAAAATGTAAATTTCCAATAACATCTATAGCTAGATTTAATCCATGTGTCCCATACACACAGATTAAATCTGCCTCAAAGAGCTGCAGGTTATTATATTTTAACTTCTGATGTTTGAATCGATCAGTGAGATTATTTTATTTCTGCCATCGAGGAGCTGCGACCCCAAGAAATGACTAAATATTTGTTCTCTTCTGTAGGAACAGTCTGTTATTTATGAGAAACAATCCTGTTTTCTATAAACCAGCAGCTCAAACTGTGGGACTGGTCCTTTAAAGAAGCTGCCTGGAGGAAACCCACCAGTCAGGAGCTTCCTCCCAGTGTCTCTGACTGGTTCTGGCCTCCCAGTCGGTGGTCATAGTGGTCTCGGCTGGTGCAGCCCTGCCGTCTCGGGGCTCAGACTCGGACTGTGCGTCGCCTTCGATGGACTCCAGTTTCCCAGCGAAGCCTGAACAGCTTTTCTGTGAGCGAGTCGGTGAGTGATGGAGAATCCAGCATTTCCCTCCAGCTGAGATAAAACCACCAGCACCTGTCTGAGAGAGGAGGAGGGTTTATTCACCTCCACCTGAGGGTCATGATGATTATGAATATAGGAGCAATAATGAGCATCAGCTGCTAACTGGGGCTGGCAGGAGGAGCTCGGGGTGGATGGAGGGCGTGAAAGAAAAACCAGAGCTCATGGACTAGTTACTCGTAATTTCTAAAACACAACTTAGTTAACTATCTAATTTTTTCTTATAAATTGACAACTTTAATCTGGGATCTGCTATTTTTAAGTTCTCAAAGCAAGTTGTCTTTTATGATTTAATGTCAATAATATATTTGAGTTTTTTTCTTTACACAAAAGTTGTCTAAGAAATGTAAACTTCTTCCTTTTGAATTTAGGATGAAGTAATAACACATACATTACATTTATGACTTTAATCTTGGAAATTCCAAGGTTTTTTTTGTCACAAAATGTCAGGTAGTGAGAGTTCAAACTGCCAGATTGCAGTTAAAAGAGTTCCCCTGAAAATATCTCTGAGTTTTGGCCTGCAAATCTATGATTCAATATTCTTAGAATTGAAATAATTTTCTGTTTTTGCCAAAGTTTTTTCTTCCAAGACAAAAATGTACGATTTCAATCTCAGAAATTCAGATTTTTTCCCCCATAAAAGTTCAGATTTAGAACTTTATTCCAATTTTTTTTTTCTTCCAAGAATGCTGACTTACTCTATCAGCTGAATGCATTTTTAAAAACGACCACTGCTTTTTAAATCTAGTTTTTTAGTTCAGTGTAGATTTCTTAAAGACTTTTGCCTGATGTTCTGTCTGAAGCTTGAGCTGGTCTTTCTTGCTAACCTCAGTCTGATCTAGATGCTGAAATGAATAACGTCTAATGTCGCAGGTCAGGACTCAAGACTCTGTGTCTGATTTTCTGGGTTAACCAGGTAGTGAGTTGAGGTTTGTGGTGAACCTGTGCAGAGGAGGGATGCTGTCGATGGTTTTCAGGCTGCTGCGCGTCGACACCACGTTGAAACTGTCGCTGCAGTCGCAGGAAACATGCAGGTGATGTCGAGGGTGTCGGTTCTCCACCATGACGATAAGCCCCGCCCACCCGTGGGTCAGGTAGTAGCAGGTCATCCCCTCCCGACCCTGAAACAGACAAACTGAGCCTTTACGGGGAAAATACTGCACTGACATCGTCTGAGCGTGGAAATATAACCAGGAAAACGTACTGAAAGGAACCAAAGTAGAAGAACTTGATGCAGAGTGTATCGTTGTTTTATTGTTAGCATGTTTCACAACATATTTCCCAAGAAACTGACCAAACACTGCAGCTAAAAGGATCAAATGATGAAATTATTAGTCATTTTAGAAGTGATTAATTGTTGTTGTTTTTTGTTTGTTTTTAACTGTTAGTTATGAAATTGTTCATTTTTGAGCAGAAAGCTAAATTCTGGGGATTTTTTTCTGGTTTCTGAGCTTTCTATGACAGTAAACTCAAAATCTTTTGTTTTTTTTGACTCCAGATGAGGCACAATAAAAGCTTTACATTTGTTAACTTGAGCTTCAGGGAAAAGTGACGGGATTTTTTCTTCCTGACATTTCCAAACATCCGCCTCTTTTTATGGAATTTTTGTCTATTTGGCAAATGGAAAAGCTTAAAACAGAAGAACTGTGAGACCAACATGCATGTGTGTGACGTCATTTAGTGTCTTGGTGCATTAACATCCAGATGATTGATGTTTTGGTGCATTAATATTCAGGTTTTTCTTTTTTGATCGCTCAGCGTTACCTCGTGCCGCTCCCCTTTGGTTTCTGCCAGCTCGATGACAGCGTCGGCGATGGTTGTGTTGGCCGCCGTCACCTGCTCCACCATCACCAGTCTGGAGCTGTAGACCGCCAGCATGTGACCAGACGTCTCTGACTTGCCGCCAGCCGCTGGAAAGACACAACAGCTGCTAACTTAGGTTGGTTATTACAGTCAGGACAGAGACGTGCAGAAAAATATAGAAAAAATACAAACAGAAGGAGCTGGAGCTGTTTGAGAAGGTGGAAAATCTTGTTCAGTGTTTTTGCTTTTAAATTTAGAAAAGCTTTTAAGAATTTTTTGCCAATTTCTTTGGTCTTTTATTTCATTTTGATATTTCAAATGAGTATATTTGATGACATTTCATTTTATGTTCATTTTAATCTTGTCTTTGTCTCTCTGTATTTAGTTTGGTAACATTTATAAATGAATGTGCCAAAATGTCCCAAATAAAGTTTTGCAAATATTCATTTTTTTGCAATGTTTTGATGAACCGAATACATTTATTTTGGCAAGTTTGGCAATTTGTAGGAGTCTTTATGAAACTTTTATCCAGAAATTCAACAAAAAAACAACAAAAACAAACTTTACACTAACAAGGTTTTGTAAAAAACAAAAGATTCTGCACTTCTTGACACAACCATGAAGCCATGAGTGATGCAGCCGTGACCAACAACAAGCCTGGTGTTGCTGTGGGTCGTACCGGTGCTCTCGCTGACCGAGCTGTGCCAGTGGTTGAAAGCGCAGCACATCACGGCGTATTCTCCAGGTTCCAGCATCACGTCGCAGCCCACGAACCTCCTGACCGATCGGCGGCTGTGAGCCAGCAGCCGGCCCAGAGTCAGAGTACCGGTGCTGTCGTAGGCGACCCGGAACAGCAGAACACAAAGATCCAAGAGGTGGCTGTCTGCAGTGTCCCAGCGCCTGAACACAGAACCACAAGGTTACCACGTGCACAAATGAAGGAGTTTATTAATATCCAGGTTATTTTACACTCTGGTGTTCTAATATCCAGGTTTGTGATGTTTTGGTGCATTAATATTATGATTTTCTAATGGTTGTGATACACTAGTTTGTACTTATTTCCAGGTTTTCAACATTTTGGAGCATTGAAGTCCATATTTTTGGTGTTTTGGTGCCTTAATATCCAGAAGTTTGATGTTTTAATGCATTATTATCCAGGTTTTTGTTGTTTTGGTGTGTAAATATCCAAGTTTTGGGCATTTTGGTTTGTTAATATCCAGATTTTTGATGTTTTGATCTATTAATATCCAGGTTGCTAACGTTCTAGTGTCTTAATATCCAGGTTTTCAATGTTTTGTGCATTAATGTCCCAAAAAAGGTTGACTCACTGTGATTTAGGGAAACTCAGGTTCTAACATCTAATTTTACTTTTCTTGACTCAATTGACTTATTTGTTTTTTAAACTCATTTGCAATAACCAATGTTTTTATTACTTTACAGATTTTCAATATTTTTTCGTGTTATTTAAGTTTCTGATTGTGTTTCTACATGTGTGCTTATCTTACTCATCTACATAGTAAATGAGGCCTGAATACTTTACTGTTTGAATAAAGGTTGAATGAGTTCATTCCGATTGTACCTGCTGCCTTGCTGGAACAAAGCCAGCTCCAGGGCCGTCCTCTCCAGCACCGTGATCGACACCACCGACACCGGCACATCGGCTCCTCGGGGGAAAACACCCGGAACTCGGACCTCCTGCCAGTCTGAGTGAATCTTACAGATATCCACCGAGTCAAAGTACCTGCAGGGTCAGACACACACTCAGTTTGAATATTTGTTTCACAGAAATTGAAAAAGCCTGGAGTCAGCATGTGTTCCTTGTCCCCCAGGTTTCAAATCAATTTTAAAAGTCTTCTCACTCGTTTTAGCCAATTTTTGAGTAATATTTAAGTTTCAAGTCAACAACAACGACGTCACAGATAAGAGTTGGTAAGATGTTAGTTCCTACTTGTGCATTTGACAATGACATTACATCGTTTTACTGTACTTAAATCAGATAAAAAATGCCAAAATTTAACAGATATTTGCTGTTATTTAAAAAAACAAGCAAACGTGTATTACGGATTGAAAAATGGTAAATATTTTTTAAAACCACTATTTTACAGATGTTCCCTCTGATGTTAAATTATTGATAATATCTCCTAAAATCATAGAAAGCAGCAGAAAAAATGAAAATATAGACATGTTTTTCTTCTGGCACCCTTGCTTCCAGCTTTTTATGTTTTTTAAATCAGAATATTTATTTATTTTAGTGCATTTTCAGTGATGTAATCAACGTAATGTGGTCAAAAGTAGACTGCAGATACAAATAAGTTCACTTTTTTGACATTTACATTAAATTCAAGAAAACAAGCTTAACAGCATTTTAGACAACAAACAATCACAGTTTGCTGTAGTTTGAGTCTCCTGATGTACCTGATGAAATCCCAGAAGTCCATCCAGAACAGACCATCTTCGGCTCGCTGGGCACAGAGCTCCCTCTTCAGGTGTGGAGGCCAGTCCGGCCAGTCGTCTGCCCAGGCCCCGGTCCAGGAGAACCGACCCCACGGGTTCCTCAGCTGCAGCAGTCTAAAACAAACAGCAGGTGTTTTTTAAAAAAACTAAAAAACATTATCACTCTTTATGTTGACGATATTGTCTCCTCTATATGTGGTTGTAACATCTGTCTCTATGCTGATGACACCATGTTGTACTGTGATACTGTACATTTTGCTGTCAGAGCCCTTCAGGACTATTTTGATTGGTGACAACTTGGAAAATCCAGTTTTACTCACTGTGTTTCTGTAGTCTGCAATACCGGAAATGCTCAAATCACTGTTTTTATTGGGTTTGAGCCACTGATTATTGATTTTTCTAGCACGACTACATAGCAAAGGAGGCCTCCAAACCACAGTGTCTCAGAGTTTACATAAAAGTTAAATGAATGAATAAAAGACAGAGTTGGTGTTTAGTGTCATGTCACATCAGCATCATTTTCTACCCATTCAAGCAACACAATCAGACGTAAATCCTCACCTGTGTCCATCTACATCCCGCACATCGAGAACCGAGTACGCATGTCGTGGACGTAAACCCAGAGACTCATACTCGCTGTCGTCCACCTTCATGTTCCCTCCTCCACAGGACGCCCCCATCAGGAAGCTGGCAGCACAAAACACAGCTGGGATTAACTCAGGTAGATGTTTAATTAATTTTATAGGAACATTATTTGATGAAAACATTTTCTTTAAACATTACTAGAACTTTTAGGTAATCTTAGCAGATGTAGTGGGAACATCCTCTCCTCACCCGGCCTCTTTGGAGCTCAGCATCTTGGCCCAGATGAGGTCCGTGTCGATGGGTTCCTCCTTGGGGTTGGTGGTGCTGACCTGCAGGGCCAGAGACTCGCAGGGCGCTCCAGTCAGCGTGGACAGACCCTCGATGGCCCGACCCGCCTGCAGAGCGAAGTAGGAACCGTGGAGCTTTGCTAAAGCTTTTTCAATCAGAGCCACCCAGAGCTGCTTCCGCTGGGCCTGCAGAGGAGGAAAAGGGATTAGGAGGGTTTAAAGTTAAGGAATTATCTCATGCAGCACAGCTTTAAAATCACATCTGCTGATGAGGAGAGGAGCATCAAGACGTGAACACTACAAAACAGAACTAAAGACTAATATACAACAGATTTTTCTTCTTTTTGGGACTAAATATAGAATATCATCTGCACGATAATCACATTGGAAACTATGGATGCAGTCATTTATCTTGGTGTGCTCTAGATAATGTATGTCTTCATACGTTGCAAAAGAAATGGAAAATACACAGAATGAGGATCAATATCTTGTTAAAGTTCTGTCTGCAGGAAGCAAGAACCTTTGAAAAGGCAGCGGCCGGAAACTATTGAAGAAATATGATATGAATAGCTCTTAAACACAGTGTGAGAACTGATTAATATAATTGGATTTTAGAGAAAAAATGAAATTAGCTGACTGCTTATGAGACCATTTACAAGGATGCTGCTCTCTTATAAAAGTGAAAACTGAGAGATTTCAGTGTTTTTACTGTATCGAAAAGCCACAAAAGTTCTGAAGTTCACTCGGTTTTGATGCAGAAAGTGTTGCTGTCCTTAGAGTTTGTATGTTTTTAAGAAACTAAAAGAAACGACTCACAGTGGAGAAGAACATTTTGAGATTGAAGTAGAAGTTTGACATGTAAAACTCCTTAATTTCAAGTACTTAGCCATTCCAAAGAGTTAACAGATAAATTTGAGATAAAAACAAAAAATTAATCTACCCGATGCAGTGTGGACGCCAATGTTTACATTTTCTTTTCATGTGAAACAAATTGCTCATTTACTCAAACTAAGGCCTGTATCATAAAAAATACTATAAGCTACAAATATGTGATATTTCAGATCTGTAAGATTTTGCAGTTAGTATCTTTAACCTTCCCAATATTTTCCAGACAATGGAGACCATTGTGTGGAAAGAAAATCCACTTTTACATGTAAACCTGAAATTTAGTTTGCTTCTCTAGAAATGTGAAATTTAAAGACTTTAATCATTCTTATTTTATCAAAACATAATACTTGTAGTAATTAGAAAAGAGAACAGCACTTAGAAACGTCCAAAGATTTGTAGCTGACAAGTAGCTAATGACAAAAAAAAGTGTGTATTGTGATAGCTAACAGATTCAACTGCTAATCCATACCGTAAGCAAATAACTTAAATAGTTTATCCATGCTGATCGTTAATTATTTCAACTTTTTTTTCCCCATATTGTTAGCTAATATGAACTGTTTATTCATACTGTTAGCAAATAACTTCAACTTTCTACCCTTGCTTCTCGATAATGGTGTCAACTCTCTCTCTGTACTGTTCGCTACCAACTGTTTATCTCTTCAGTTATCTAATAATTTCAGCTGAGCAATACAGCTGCCATCTTTTCAGTTACAACATTCTCCCACAGATTTCTATTCTGGACTCTGGAAGCGCAGAGTCTCAGCCTTATAATGCCTCTCAGATAAGATGAGCTGGTCTCTCCACGTACTCCTGCTGTACCTGTACTCCGGGTCGGAGGTCACTTTAATTGTGCCAATTTGTACCTGAGAGAACAGCAGGTGTCCGGTCTCGTCACAGGGCAGCATGTCGTCCACCAGCACCGTGGTCCACGAACCGTCTTTGCAGAGTCGGACCTGATAGGCTCCTTCAGCGCACAGCGATCGGGTCACCATCACCTTCTCCACCAGCTCGGGCCGCTCAGCCAGAACCGCCAACGCGCTCAGGAACCTGTTCTCCAAAGGATTCAGTGGTTTTTAATGGAGCCTTTACTTTAGATTCTTCTGTTGTTCTTCTGTCCTGAACATTAAATCCATACACACATCATGTTGACCTACATTCTGGTTCAAAACAAACAGTTTTTGTTGTTCTGGTAGTAGGCACAGTAAATATTTTTTACGGCATTTATCAGTATTTTTTCGTAATTGATCCGTCTACATTTCATAGTAGAAGTGTCTTCCTCAGTTAAAGTCATCACCTTGGTGCTGTGACATTTATAGGTAAAGATATTAATCATTAGACTCCAGAGCCAACAGCAGGCTCCAGGGGCCAACAGGAAAAAAGTTGAATTCAACAAGCGAATTACATCAGAGTTGTTGTTGCTCGTGCAGACCTGTACAAAGTCGGCTCACCAGCAGTTACCCAGAAGCCCCTGCAGGATGTCGGATGGTCGCAGCGTCCTAAAAACCGACCACTTCACTCCGCGGTCTCTGAAGTTAGTGCAGCTGATTTCTTTGGGTCGAAGCCACTTCCTGACTCGGTGCTGGACGTTGTCATCCAACGGGAAACCCACCGACTTCGGACCAGGAGGGAAACTGTCGTCCACAAACGTCACTGAGTTCTGAAAAAACACACAATCAAAAGAATCAAAAATTGGAAAAACAATTATCTCAGTGAGTTTGATTGTTGGTTTGACAGTTTTCTGAAACTGCTGCTCTTCAATTATTATAAGATGGTTTGATTGGATTGTCCACATCAAGACAGAAACTGAAGCCCGATCCTTTGTCTGAAGTGCTTAAAATGGACATCATGCCAGGACATATAGAATATATAGGCCCTGAGCTGAAATAAGCTGAAAAAGTTGTCTGTTTTAACCCCTGAGTCGTCCTCTCAGGCTGCTTTATGTTCTAGCTGCAGGGTTATTATAGTTCTATTGTTCCCTGTAGGCAAGACTCAGGGCAGAATAATCCAGCATTTATAAAAAGACACATTGAACTTCATTCTGCACAGAGAGGCTCAGAATGAAGCAACATTAGTCCTCTGAAGCACAAATGGTTTCTGTTTTTGCTCCTGTTACATTTTTCTTCACTGTGGGTTCATTTTTCACTGCAATACACATTTTTCCACCTCTATGGAAACTATGTGTCACCATGACACAGTTAGAATGACACAAATCAGACAACAACTAAAAAAAGGAATGTTGCATGTCTTTATAGCGCATTTATTTCTGACTTCTTTTATACTTGCCTCCTCTCTGCTGTGTGGAAACACTGCCTGTAGTTCAGCCAAAACAAAACCACACAGAATTTTTGTCATGTGACTTTTGGTGGCGGCTGAATGAAAAACTATGATTTTGAGCTCAGATTTGGTAAAGTTACCATCAGGTTAATACATCACAGGTGAGAAGCTCAAAGACCATCATAATATTTAAAAAAGTGAGATTTCTTTCTGTTTTACAGTCTGGCTCTGATAAAAGGTTGGATGTTGGGCATTTTTTAAAGATAAGATGCCTTTTTAACCTTCAAGCAGGTATTTTGGTGTCATTTCAGAATTCTTATTTTCAATGCTCGAACCTCTCTGCAGAAGCTGACGATGTTCTCCCACAGCTCCTTGGCCTCTCCTTCATCGCTCTGTCGCAGCGCCTCCACCAGGCGGCTCTCCTTCCTCCTCGGAGAAGCTGCCGCTCTGAGCTGCTGAGGCGTGTGACAGGCCAGGCAGTGTTTGGCTTTAACCTGGTTGATGAGGGTGCAGGCCGGACACGACCACTCCTCCGTCCTCACCGGAGGAAACAACAGTGAGGCATCGGCTGCAGGAGACAGCGGAGACATCTCCTCTTTCAGTATGCTGAGCCTCCTGCCGGCCAGCAGCTCCGGCTGGGTGGACAGATGAGAGACGGCGAGCGTCGAAGGAGACGGACTGATGCTTTGTGGTTGGCCCACGTCCGGAGGAGGAACCTCTCTGCGGCTGCAGGGAACCGGATTATTGTGAGCTGGAGGCGGCATGCTGAGCACCGAGGAGGCTGAGCTGGGATATGAAGCCTCCGCGGGTAAACACTCTCCTCGGGTGGCGATGGATAGGGACAGTCCCCCGGCTGCAGGTTCAGGGTTCGGAGCTCCAGCTCCATCAGCGACTTCAGGGCTCAGCAGGGCCTCGGCTGGGATCTGAGGCAGTGACAGCTTGCGAGGTCCACCACAGGCCGAGCAGGACATGGAGGTAGGAGTGTTCTGCAGCGTGCACCTCAAACAGTCCCAGGACTGGCTGGTTCTACCTCCTGGCCTCCTGCAGGGCTCTGAGGATGAGGCCCTCAGGGGCCCCGAGCAGCTGCTGGAGCGCTGAGGTCTGGGCTGGGCTTCGGGAGCCCCGGTGTATCCGCACAGGGAGCACGCTAGGCTGCCAGAGGAGTTGGCCAGCGTGCAACGAGGGCAGGACCAGCTAGCATCCTCCCTGCCGGGCCACATCCAGCGGGCGTCGGGTGCTCGGCGAGGGGCTTCGCAGATAGAACATCGGGGAGCGCCGGCGGCATTCAGGAAAGTACAGCAGCCACAGGCCCACTGAGTCCTCTGCAGGGGCATCGAACCCGACGAGAAACTGCAGAGAAAACACAAAACACGTCTCAGAATCAAAGCTGACACCAGTCAGTGACAATTACATAATTTCATCCCTCACAGAACACCATCAGGAGGAATCAGCAAGTCTGAAACTAGTGTAATACCGATCAGAAAACAGAGCCCTGATCTCAACATCAGGGCAACAATCACCAAATCTACATCAGTCTAAACCAAGGTCTGACACCAGAGTAGAAATAGTCCAAAACCAGTTCAAATCCAGCCCAAACCAGTCTCCAAAAACAGCCTAAAACCAAATCCAAGACCAGGCCAAAACCAGTCCAAGGTACCAAGTCAAAAAACACCCCAAAACCAGTAAAAAAAAAAAAAACAACAACCCACAAACAAACAAACGAACAAACAAAAAACAAAGTACACATCCAGTCCAAACTTAAAGGCTAGATCTGAACACCATAGCATCAGAAAGCAAATCCAAAACCAATCAAACACCAAACTAAAATTAGTCCAAAATCATGTGTAAAGCCAGTATAAAACCAGTCTAAAACAGAACCCTGATCTCAGCATCATGGAAACACCAACCAACTCTAAAACCAGACTAAAACCAAGTCTAAAACCAGGTCCAAGACCAGTCTAAGCAGACCCCTGATCCCAACATCATCCATCCATTATCTATACACCACTTAATCCTCGCAGGGGGGCTGGAGTCTATCCCAGCTGACTCAGGGTGAAGGCAGGGGACACCCTGGACAGGTCACCAGTCTATCACAGGGCTACACTTAGAGACAGACAACCAAGCACACTCACATTCACACCTACGGACAATTTAGAATCACCAATTAACCTCAACATGTTTCTGGACTGTGTGGGAGGAAGCCGGAGAACCCGGAGAGAACCCACGCTGCACGGGGAGAACATGCAAACTCCACGCAGAAAGATCCCGGGTGTCCACACGGGGACACAAACCGGGGACCTTCTTGCTGTGAGGCAACAGTGCTAACCACTGAGCCACCTTGCAGCCCAACATCCTGGACTCCAAAATCAGTATCAAACTAAGTCCAAAACCAATTTTAAACAAAGCCCAAAACCAGTCTAAGACGACTCCAAAGTCAGTTAGAAAAGTCCAAAACAAAGCCTTGATCTCAAAATTGTGGTGTCAGGGACCAATTAAAAAACTATTCCAGAACTAAGATGGAAACCAGGAAGAAACCAGTAGAGTCCTGATCTTAACATCACTCAGTCTTTTCTTATCTTACATGGGTCTGATTTAATATCTACCATCTACTGAACGGATGATATCTTTCCTGATTTATGATCACAGAACTAAACAGCAAATACTCATTTTCATGCTGAACCTTCTTTAACCGAACAATAATTAAACCTTCAGAGTTCTGATCCAGTCTGAGGAGTTTATTCTGTGATGTTCAGACCTTACAACAAACACAGAGATGAGTGAATGTAAAGCAGATCTGAGTCTGTCTGCAGCTCACTTCTGGTTTCTGTTTCTGTAAAATCCCCGGAGACGAAGAGGAGGCAGAAACAGCCTGAGAATATGAGGGAAAATCTAAATATAAACGGTGAATAGCAGTTGTTGCAGGTTCCTAAACGCTGTGTTGGCTGCAGGGAGAACATTAAAATGCATGAATATGGAAATGATAGAAGCAGCTGCAGCACAGATTCCTGGTGTGCTGCTGGAGTTAGAGCCGGTAGAAAACACTGTTGTACATGTGAGGTTCATGTTCCTGCTGCTCTCAGAGGTAAAACCGACTCAGATTATCTGACTGAGGAAGTTCTGGAGGGACGTCAGACTGAAATCTGTCCCACATTTTCTATCTGTGGGGGCCGAAGCTGCAGGATTTACTGCAGCAAACACTGACTCTGACATGCTGCTGCAGAGAAAATACCACCTTACACGATAAGTTACACCTGTCTGCAGTTTGTTTACAGGTGAAACACGAACTGAGTCTGAAACAAAATAATGCAGCCGTCACCACTGCCGAAAAAAAGTCTTTTAAAGCATACATTTATCCTAAAAATGTACTTTTAGACAAAAATGAGCCTCTCTGCTGTTTGTTAACATGTGAAACTAAAGTCCAGATCAGAAATTGAAGCTGAAGGAATTATTGGCAGACTATAATCTACAAACACAGTTGAACCCAGAAGTTTACATACACAGTATAAAAAGACATAAAACCTTTTTCTCTCTCTCGTTATCTGACATTAAATCAGACTAAACTTTTCCTGTTTTAGGTCAGTTAGGATTACCAAAATTATTTCTATTTGCTAAATGCCAGAATAACAGGAGAGAGAATTTATTTCAGAAGTTTACATACACTAACATTACTATGCCTTCAAACTATTTGGGAAAGCCTAGATGATGATGTCATGGCTTTGGAAGCTTTTGATTGGTTAATTGAGTTGTTTAATTAACATTTGAGTAATTAATGTTGTGTGTTTGTTTCCAATTTAAATATTTTGTCTGTTCTTTTTGAAACACCCTGTAACTGTGGTTTGAAAGGAGCTAAAGAGCTCGAGTTTATTATTTAGAGTCCTTGACAGTGAATTTATTTTGAACCTGTGGAGCAACAGCACGATAAATAAACCTGAAATGTGGAGGATTTTTACTGCAGACGGTTCAAAGGCAGCGACTGAATCACAGGACAATCTCTGTTCTTTCATGTGTCTCCTGATGTCACATTTTCTTCTGCTTTTCGATCCATGAAGGTATTTTGATCTGCCAGCTTCAAACGCTGAGCAGAGCTTCCTGCAGCTCTGAATTTCCTCTGGAAGCTCGACTGGACCAGTTCCTCCATCAGGGATTCCCTCGGTGACTTCGGGTTTCCTGCCAGCGAGTAACCCGAGTCCTGATGAAGGTCTTCCAGCAGCCTCCATATTCTCAGTAAATCAGACAGAGGGGCAGTAATAATTAATAAGGAAGGCTGAGGTTTGATTCACATTGATCGATTCATGAAAAATTCACGACTACGCAATCGAGTCCAGAAAACTGTGGAACATAAGTCAGCTTTTATACATTCAGACGTCACATTATTATTAACAAATTGACATAATTAGTCGGTTTGAGGAGGACAATTAACAGAAACCATCTCACAGGAGAATCGCTGACGTCTTCTGGCTCACACCTGACAACATTTTCAGAATATTGCGCTGAGAAAATTAAAACTAAACAACTGTTTGTGTATTTTTTTGCTGTCTGGCTGTTCGATTCTGTGTATTGTCTTGCTCTTGTTCTTTAAGAAAACAAATTCAAACCAGGAAGATGGTCCTGCGTCTCGCTACAAAGAGCTTTTGGATGAACTTGCAGAGTAAATCCCAGAAATGTAGATCGACCTCAGAACACTTGTGTCTAATACTGAGACTTTTTTCATAAATCTACAGTTGTGGACATGAGGCGCGTTGCATTACCTGGTTAAGAGTTGCATCACCGTGCTTTCAGTGCCAAGGATTTTCAGAAAAAGAAATATGAAAACTGTGATTTTTAGAAGCTTATTTGACACTCTGACACCGATTCTAAAGGTGTTTTCAGAATCCTCAAAGACTCTTTGAACCATCATGGGAAAAAAAAAAACAATCATGTCTGCTGCGAAAATATTTAATCGGTTCCTCAGGTAGTAGAACTGTTCTCACTCGATTTGGGTTACACTGGTTTTACAGTCTGGAATTTGATCCTATTTATCCTTTTTCCAATTTGGCATTTGTGTAAAACTATCATTTATAATAATCTAATTAATCAAGTTACAATTGGTCGTTAATAACTCAGAGGAAAAAGTCATAAACAGCTGGAAGCAACAAGCTAAACTATGAATCAGTGTAATAGAAAGAAAAGTTCACAGTGTGACCTGCTGTTGGATCATGAGCCATCCTGTCTCAATGTTGGGGATCATTTAAAATTTTAAGCTGTTGGTTCACATTAATGTGGATCATGCTGCTGTCTGAAGCTGAGAAAAAATATTGCTGCAAAAATGTGGAAAAATCTTTCCCTAAATCCCTTCATACAGCTGCAGTACTGCTGCTTGTGGCTGCTGATCTGTTATTATGATGTTCTGTGTCCAACCTGGTGAAACTGCCGTCACAACTTTTAGAGAAAAAATTCAGTTGTCGTCAGATTAACAGAAAAGAGTCTGAAAAGAAGTTTAAATCCAGCCACTGCCGAGCTACAACTTCCTTACATGCATCTTCACATACACGTTAATATGCACCTTTGGAGATGCTTATTCGTATATTCTTTTCATCTTACATTTTTCTCGATATGCTGTAATGTGTTCTGCAAAACCAGCCTCCTACCTCCTCTCCCGGTGCCGGCCCGGTCGGGGGAGCTGCCGGGGGAGGAAGCTGCTCTGGCTGCTCCTTAAACAGCCCATGACGGGGGATGGAGGCAGGGCGGCGCCTCGCGGTGCTGCTTCGCCCTCAGCTTCGTCTACAAGGGAGGAGGTGGAGCTTCCCATGATGCCGCTGGCTCAGGTGGACGGACCCTGGGGAGGGGAGGCAGGAATGCGTCAGTCTGTTGGTGCTAAAATGATCAATATGAATGTTATGAGTAGGTCACAGGCTGCAGGAGCAGAATCTACAGAGGAACATAATCTGTGGTAAGTAATTTTTTTTGTGGTCGTTTCATTTCTTTGTGGTTCTTTTCTCTTGTAGACTGCATCAGGTTGTCCTCCAGGATTTGTTGCATTCATTTTACCCTCTAACTTTGTAAGCCTTCCAGGGCCTGCTGCTGAGAAACATCCCCACATCATGATGCTGCCACCTCCATTCTTCACATCATGATGCTGCCACCTCCATGCTTCACATCAGGATGCTGCCGCCTCCATGCTTTACATCATGATGCTGCCACCTCCATGCTTCATAGTAGGGGGTGGAGCATTTGTGAAGATGTGCAGGCAGTGTTTTTTTTGTCTAGCATTTAGTCTGATGGGCGTAAAACTCAACTTTACCTCGTAGAAACATTATTTGAAGTGATAAACATCCTTCAAACATCCCTCGAACATCAGAGTAAAAGGTTTTCTTCAAAACATTATCGATGGTCAAACATAGCTAAATTTATGGGAACTTCTTAAGGGAAGTTTTTTTTTTGGTTGTTTAAGAATGTTCTTCTTAAAGGCAGGATAAAGTTCTCTGAAAACTTTTAAACATGTTTAGTGATGACACTGTTAGGTCATTCTGTTCTTCTCACTTCTTTTTTTTACTTTTATAACATGTCAACATCATGAAACATCCTCAGAATTTCACATCAAACTGTTCTACTTTCATTAATATATAACATTACAGGAACAATTTAGTTTAAAAAAAAAACTGCCTCGATAACATCTGGAGACACCTTTTGAATGCTGATCTGAGAACGTTCTTCCTCTGTTATCATCAACGAGTTATTTTCTAAATGTTGCAGCCAAAGCAAATTGTTTTAATTCACTTTTCAATAAATACATAAAGTTCTCTAAAGACATTCCAAAAATGTTTGCTGACAACACTGTTAGTCAGTTGTGTTCTTTAAACATTTTCAGAATGTTGAAACGTATTTTTATGCTGTCAGTGTTGAAAACATTTTCAAAACATTGCACGAAATGTTCTGCTTTCGTTAACATACAACAAAAAAAATACCTCATTCTGAAAACGCCTTTTGAATGTTCTGAGAACGTTCTTCCTTTGCTATCATCATCCAAGAATTTTCTCAAAGTTGCAGCTGAAACGTTCTATTTAAGTTCACTTTATAACATCATGGGAACCTTATTTAAAATGGTAAATCTCCTTAAATATTTCTTTAAACATTAACAGAACTTGTAGGTAACGACTGCCAATGTTGTGGGAACATTGTGTGCACATAACAGATGATTGATCTGATACATGTGACTGAAGGATTATTGATCATTTATCAGAACTCAGACACACAGTGGTGATGTTCTGGAAGATGCTGCTCTGATGGATTTTCGTTCTGTTGTATATTAAGGTCAGACTACAGGACTTCACTGGAACTTTGCTGTGCAGCAGACCTGCTGTGTTCTGCTGTCGTTGGGCTCCAGCTGCTTCCTGCTCTCACAGTTTTGTCCTTGAACAAGGACTTTAAATCTGTCTGATAACATCGGCAGCTTCAGATGCTCATCAGGAGGAGACACCGACTGCAACACTCATGTTTTCTGCTCTCTGCACCGAAATCCACTGTTTTAATTCTTGTTAAATCTGATGTCAATCCAGAGTCTCCTTCTGCTGTGTTTGTCTCTAGATGACTAAAAATCACACTCAAAGCATTAAAACACTCAGTTAACAGCAGTGTCCAGGTACAGTTTTGTTGCATGCAGGAGCCTCACTGCAGATGCCTCCCTGCTGATGCTGAAGTTCACGTTGACTTCAGGTGAGCTGGAGGAGCTGCAGTCCGGCTGCTGGACGCCGAGATGCTGCAGCAGAGGACACGAGGACGAAGCTGGACTCACCGACTGCAGGGAGGCTGTTTGCTGCTGCTGCTGCTGCTGCAACCACACGGCTGATGCTGCTGCCTTCTGCATCCTCGGAGATGTGAGCGGTCGATGTGCACAGTCACCCCGCTTCTGCACACAAAGCAGTGTCAAGCTGCACAGAAACACAACTGCATCCTGTCATCACATTCAAAATAAAAGCCCTGTGGAAAAACCCCAGAATAAACCAAAATATATTAAAATGTCACTGCGTATATTAATTGACAATAAACAGGTGACACAAAAAAAGCAAAAACCTATTTATTTATATTAATTGAACAACACTATTGCAAAAACATTAGCAAAAACCAACTGCAGAGACAAAAGATGGCCACAAAGATGTACAACATCACCGTGGCCTGTTTGTGTATCTCTGTGGTCTTTGTATGTCTCTTTGTCATCATGATGCTGCCACCTCCATGCTTCACATCATGATGCCGCCACCACCATGTTTCACATCATGATGTTGCCACCTCCATGCTTCACAGTGGGAATGGCATGCTTGTGATGATGTGCAGTGTTTGGTATTCACCAAACATCGCATCTAGTTTGATGGACCTAAAGCTCCATTTTGATCTCATCAGACCAAACAACCTTCTTCCAGTTGACTTCAGAGTCTCCCACATGTCTTCTGGTGAACTCTAGTCCAGATTTAATATGAGCTTTTCTCAACAGTGTCTTTCTCTTTGTCACTCTCCCATAAAGCTTTGATTGGTGAAGAACAGGCAACAGTTGTTCTATGAACACTCTCTCCCATCTCTGCTGCTGAATCTTGTAACTCCTTCAGAGGAGTCATAGGTGTCTTGGTGGTCTCCATCACTTGTCTCTTTCTTGCTCGGTTGCTCAGTCTTTGAGAACAACCTGCTCTCGGCAGATTTACACATGTTCCATATTTCTTAATTTCCTAAGGATGGATTTAACTGGACTTCAAGAGATGTTCAGTGACTTGGAAATTTTCTTGCATCATCTCTGATTTATGTTTTTCAGTTACCTTTTCACAGAGTTTCTTGGTGTCCTTTAGTCTTCATGGTGTAGTTCTATGCAGGATTCACAGTGACTGGACCTTCCAGATACAGGTGTCTTTATACTACAATCACTCAGACACATTCACTGCACTCAGATGATCTCCATTTCATTAACTGTGGAACTTCTAGCACCAACTGGCTGCACCTGAGTTGAACTGCGTGACTCTGACTTTCTATTTTCAATTATTGCCAATACTTTGTAGAAGCCTGTTTTCACTTTGACATGAGTGAGTCTTTCTTGTAAATTACTGTAGGTAAAACCAAATTAAATTGACTCTGATTCAATGTTAAAAAACAATAAAAGAAGGAAACTTTACAGAGGCATTATGGATGCAGTCATTTTAGAGTATTTTTACACCATTGCAGGCACTTTTAATGAACACTTCCAGCATGTCTATCATGTGTTTGTGACTGACTGTGAAGCCATTAGTGACTTCACATGACTAACAGCTACTCTCCTAAAAAACAGCATATTAGCACCTGAAACATCGCAGCAGCACCGTGGACTGTATCTGAAAAAATATGTTTTATTTAATAGTGACAGTAATGTAAAGTGTGTAATGTAAAGATCTGTAATGAAGTAAACCCGGCAGAAAAAGTGCTGAATTGTTTCACTTTGAGTATTGTCTAGTGTTTAATATGACAGCTCTTCTCTATTGTAAAAAAAAAAAAACAAACAGTCCAGTTATTGCTCTGCAGAAGGACATCATCCTACAGTAACATTGACTTTAATACCAAAAAAATAAACTATAAAGAGTCTGAATGCAGGTTCATAAAACTCGTTTCCCACAGTGACTGGATGCAGAAACAAAAGGCACAGAAGGTCTCAGCAGTTTCCATTTTCTTCTTCTTCTTCTATGGTTCTTTTCTCCAAACTTCTTCTCCCGAAATGAAGGTGGCTTTGACATTGAGGGCGTCATCGAGCAGAACCAGGTCTGTAGGACGGGTGACAGGTGGTTAAACACATCATCAATAAACATGATTAAAGGACACATTAGAACAGATAGGTCTAGGTGTTGAAATGAGTTATTATTGTTCTGGGAGTTTTCAGGTGGACTGCAGGACAAAAACAGCAGGAAGCAAGTCAACAGCGCAGAAACAAAGATGGAGGATTTGTAGTTCTGACCTGCATCACAGCCGTAGTCCAGCTTCCCCTTATTGTGGCTGATTCCCAGCAGCTGAGCAGGATGGAGGGAAGCAGCTTCCAGAGCTTCTTCTACACTGCAGCCTGGAAACAGCAACACAGTTCAGACTGAGGGAGGAAGAATCTGCAGCAGCAGCTGGACTGATGATGATGTTCTCACCTCAGCGCTAACCCGTGTTTCTTTGTGGTGTTTTTCAGCCTCTTTGCGGACATTTTGTGTCTCTATGTGGTTGTTTTTCACCTGCAGTTGAGGATTTTCAGGAATCTATCCTGTTCCAAACCTGATGTCATTCTACTAGCTGTCCTTGGGTTTGTTGAATCAAATTTTCCAGATAACTCTTAAAAAGTATTAAACCTTAACAGTGTATGTTCTGGTTGCACTGAGCTGCTCTGGAGGATGGAAGATAATCAGTGCAAGTTTTTACATAAAGTGTCCATAAACACCAGATCAGAGGCAAACTGACCTGAAGCCTGTTTGAAGTGCCTTACACACATGTCCATGGTGGCGATGCTGCCGCTGAGCGTCTTAGTGCCTGAAAATAGAAGTGGCATTAAAAAAGCAGGTTTATGGATTCAAAATAAGAAACTTTTTATATCTTCCACATGTCTGGATCATCACTTTTTATCTTGATTAATCATGTTTGTTCTCTCCTGCAGCATCACTTTAGGAAATAATGGACCTTGGCTTTGTTTCAACAATCTGAAAAGCTGCCAGCAGGTTTGTAAGCCATTTTTTCCCCCCAATATTACAATATATATCAACCATAACTGGTAAAAACAGAAACAATCATCAGACTTTCAGACGTTTCATGAACTGCTCATGTGTGACGTGTCGTCCCATCACAAAACCTGAAGCATGGTGGTGGCAGCAACACGACGTGGGGACGCTTAATGGCAGCAGAGTTCGGAAGGTTACCTCTAATTTATTAATTACAGCATCACTTCAGGCAACAATGAAGCTTGCTTTTGTTTTAACACCTTCTTGAAATCTCTGGTTAGAACAACAATCTAACGTACCGTGTGAAGTAAGACATTTTGAGATTTTAAAGCCACTGATAAATTCCTTTTTACTTTTATTTTTTTAATGTTTACAAGCAACTTTTGGACATTCAAATATATGCGTTGGTTGTCTGATATTGATACCTGAACTTACAGGTGGACAAAGTGTATTAACTTTTTTATTCAGCTTGTCTGTGGCTTCTTTCTGTAACATTAAAGTAAAGGATTTAATGGATAATTGCAATAATTGAGTTTTTTAATGTGGAAACTGAGACCTGCCACGTGAGCGTGGAGACCCTGGATCTCGATGACCTGCTGGCCCAGAGTGTGACGCCCCGGAGGAAGACCCATCGCTGTGATGGCATCCGTCACCAGAACCAAACCTGGAAACAACAAACAAACAAACAGTTGCTGTTATTAACAAAAACAGGTATTTTGATAAGTTACAACAGGAAAACAAGCTGCTGCATTAAATCCAACAGTAAAAAAAACAAAACAAAACCCCCAAATCAGATAAAAACTTCATATATTTCAAAGTATTCATCAGTGTCTGAAAAATTTCTGCACAATTGTCTCTGATTTACCTGGATTGTTTTATGCCATAAAATGTGGATATTTAAGAGGATATTCATGAAAATGTAGCATGATATATTAAATACTTTCTGTGATAAAAGTTTATAAAAAACTGCCCATCAACCCACATTAAGCATGTTTTTTTTAGGCTGTTTGAACGGCAATATCTCTGACACTAGTAAAGATAAATACCTGAAATTTTCGCTATTTTCCATCTATTGACATGAAAATATACTAGCAGATGGAAGGCACTAGCACATATAACAACATATAGACACCTACACACACCCCTATACACACCCTTGTTTTGTCAAACTTTCCACACATCAAAATCTCCTGATGTTTGAGGCCTCAAAAGCTGGTAAAATGTCGTCCAAAAAAAAATAAAAAATACAGAAACATGGATACATCCCTGTATATACACACTTACACAAACTTTCTGGTGACACAGCACCGACCTGGTTTGAGAAATGTGCACCTTTCTTTCATTTTTATGGGTCGCTTTTTTTTAAAAAAGCATAATGAAATAAAAATAAAAAAGTGTCCTCTGCTGGATCCATTCAGTCATTTAAATCTGCTGGAAACTACTCTGTCTGTCTCTTTACCAAATTTAATGGCTGTGGGAGTTCTACTTCTGGAGATATTGAACCCTTAAAATGACTTCACGGGTGTTTTTTGAGGGTGAAAATATAAGAATTCCCACATCTGATTCTTAAAATCCAGAAAATGGAGCAGATGTTAATGCACACAGGAATTTCCAGCTATATTCACCTGATTGGACACAGCAGCAGTGACCTTATGAGACAAAAGTATTGTGTGTCTGAACACAGATGAGTGCATCGCTCACTATTTTCCTACTGAAGACGAAACCCCTTAAAATTCCTCATAAACGTCTTCAATAAAGTTTCATTTCTGAGAGTCTCTAACGGATTCATCCACATTTGTTTCTCCAGGGAAGTTATTGAAGCTATCAGATGGCTGATTTCTTTATTGACCCACATTCTGAAGTTCTTGCTCAGAAACAGTCTGTTTTCCTGCAGGGTAAAGAAATCCCTTCTGGACTGAACACCATGTGTTGACTGCATCAATTATTAAGGGATTTTTTTTGTAGAAGTTTTAACTCATTGGCTTATATATTTTTTTTGGACATCTGCAGATTTACAGCAGACCTGTGTGATTAAACTGCTAGTTTATTAGTACTCTGCATGGAAATACAGTTAAATGTAATTAATGAACATATCTGTCAAGCAGATTCTCCGGCTCAGGTGTTATCGCTGTTGAAGTTTGCAGCAGTGCATTCTGGGAGCAGCCTGTTGAGAGTCTGTTGCTCTTCAATTGCAATTACGGTGAGGTCAAGGCCGTTTTATGCAAATCAGGGGCGTCCAGAGCGACTCGCCGCCTCCAGAAAACTCAGGAAACCCTCTGAACTCTCTGAGCAGCTCCTGACAGTCACATTTTTACTCACTGTGGCTCATTTTTCACTGTCAGATAAAGTACTGCACCTCCATGGAAACAGAACAACCATGAAGAAGGAGCGAGAACTCAGAAATGTCTTTGGTACAGTAAGACACAGTTAGAATGACAGAAATCAGAAAAAAAATCAACACATCCACAGATGTTACCAACACTGTTTTTACAGTTTTTGGCAGATAAATTGTCTCATTGTAGTGATAAAAAAAAAACAAGAAAACATATAATACTTTCAAAAACGCCAGCAGGTTTTGGGGTTGAGAGTAACAAGGTAATAAAGCTCCTTACATTTAAGGTTTCCAACTTTAACAATTCAGCCTTGTGAGGTACGATGTTTAAAATGAATGAATATATTTATTAATAGATGTCAGATGAAGACAGACTCAGCAACTGCCTGGCTTATTTATCGCCTTAAATGTCTTCAAAAACACATTACAGCCTTCAAAGAAGCCACCATATCGGTCTGGGTTTAAATGTGGGAGGAGACGAACCACAACTGAAAGGGCTTCTCCACCCAGGTGGGCGTAGGAAACACCAGTCGGTATTGTTGCACCACTACTATCCCTCCAGTGTTTGAAATAAAATTGGAAAAATGTCAAACACGTCCAGCAGAATAATAGAAAAAGCACCACAGACCTGAGGGATGAGCTCGGTGGGCGATTCGCAGCGCTGCAGGGTTGGTGTGGATCCCGTCAGCAATCATCCCATAATACACCGTCCGGCCTGCAGGAACCTGATCGCTGGTCAGCAGACCCACGATACCAGGGTCACGATGGTGGAACTGGACCGCACAGCACACACAGAAGGATAATAAAAAAAATAACAGTCAGAGATGAGCTACTGAACATTTGGTGCAGCACTTAGCAGCTAAAAAGCCACATTTTTTCCAAAAGAGGAGGTAGAGACCAAAAACGGAGCGAAAAGAGTAAATGTTGGACTCACCGGCAGCATGGCGTTGAACAGGTGAGTGATGAAGGAGGCTCCATGTTGAACAGCCTCCTCAGCCTGAGACAGGTTGGCCACCGAGTGACCTGCAGCAAACAATCCAACAACCTTTATTCCGACGGGTTAGGTCAATTTAAAGAGTTAGACAAAGCAGTTTCAAACAGAAAAATAAAACTATTTGAAACCAAACAAAATAAAAATGGCTTAATGTTATTTAAACAATACTATTACTACTACTACTACTACTACTACTTCTACTAGTAATAATAATAATAAAACCTTCAAAGAAATAAAAATTGCTTAAAATGAATAAGAGCAAAGAAAATTAATAAAATTAAGAAATCAAAAGTGCACATGAAAAAAATGGTTTATAATTAACAATAAAACCAATACTAATAATAATAATACAATGATGATGATGATGATGACTGAATAAATATATCATGAAAACAAAAAAATAATAATAATAAAAGAGCACATTTCAAATGGTTTGCAATTAATTAAAATAACAAGAAATACACATACATACATACATACATATGTATATATACATATATATATAATGTGACAATAAAATCAGAAAGCAATGATGATATTACGATGAATTATTAATGTTTTTGTTGTATATATTCTAATTATATTAAGAATAATGATAGACCTCAAAACAAATAAAAAATAGTTTCAAATTAAGAATAAAACCAATCAAATATTTATTATTATTAAAAAGTAAAGGAAGAAAACAGAACCAGCAGAAGGATTCGATCAGCAAATTTTTTCTAAATTTCAGGTGTAATGTTAAATTAATTTAAATAAGTAAATTACTACCATGCTGGTTTTGAGGGCAGCTGCTGTAAACCGAGCAGCTGCTGCCTCCTGTGTTCAGGTGAACTCACCTAAGGACACAGTGATGCCTCTCTGGCAAAGCTCCCTCACCACTGATTGGCTGTTGGCCAGCTCAGGAGCCAGTGTCACCATGGTAACATTGTCCAGGCTGCCATAGACCTCCATCAGGTCCTGGACCCCTCCGGACTGGAAGGTTCTGAGGTACTGTTCTGGGTGGGCTCCCTTCTTCTCAGCGCTGATGAACGGACCCTCCAGATGAAAACCTGCATGTTTACACAACACACTTTTAACACACAAATACTCTACAAATGTGGATTAATCCGCTGCTGAAAATAGACCCCAAAAACAGGACAGTTCAGGACGTCACCAATAAAATCAGACCACGTATTTGTGAGGTTTGTCTCCATTCCTGCAGAGTGGAAGTGAACACATTAACAGAGCAGCAAAGCAGAGATGTTTGATGAATTGTGGACATGAAGGTCGACTGTATGAACGTAAAGTAATTCAGTTAAAAGCTTCGTCTGCTTCTGACTTCATGAAAAAAACAACAGAAATGATCTTGTGAGTGTCTCCACAGTCTGCTTTAAAGGTCAACCATGATGCTAAATGTGATTCTTCATGTCTTTCAAAGATAAATATGTAAAGTTGTGTCTCCAGAACTGTGGTTCTCAACCTTTTTAATGTGACGTTCTCCCACAGACCTGTCAGACTGAGTAACTCCTTTATCATCATTCTTTTTCCTGCTGCTTCTTTTAGGAGATGTTTATGAATGTAAAAAAACACCACAACACTGAGGTTCATGTATGGACACGACAGTTATTCTATTCAGGGTTATTGGTGAGGTTCCATTGCAGTGATGGAGGATGTTACTACAATAAATAACACAACATATAACCAACCTGGTCTTTAACATACATTCACCAGGATGGAGACAGCTCTACAGTAGTCTGTTCTGTGTTCTTCTTCACATCTTACCAAGAACTCCAGCTCCATGCTGTCCTCCATTGTGAACTTTGACCTGAGGCAAAACCTACAACACACATGGTGATTACAGTTCAGATTTAATATGTAACAGCTGCACTTCACAGACACAAAGTCAGACAAAATGTGCATGTGTCTACTGAATGAATCAGTGCATCCAAACCTTGTGGTAGACAGCAGCAGGAGAAGTGACCAGAGTTGGACAGAAAGACGTCACTCCATGTTCAAGGATCTTTTTGGCCACAACAGAAACTCCACCACTGATGTCTTCAGACACCAGAGAGAAGTCGATGCCGTAACCCCCTGATGAACATAAAACACCAACTTTATGAACTACAAAGATGGAGTTTGTGATACTGAGGAAGGAGCAGAACACCTTAGAGAAACTGTGTGACTGTTAAACATCCTCAGATCAGTCTTTAAAATTCTCTGAAAGTAGCACAACCTGCGGAACGACATCTTATCAGCAGGCATGTTTGTTTGTGTGTGTATTGGAGCGTACCGTTGATCTGGACGTCTATAAATCCCGGGGCGATGATGCTGCCTTTACAGTCCACATGTTTGTCAGCGTAGCCCTGTTCATCGAAGAACAGTTTCTCTGGATTTAAAATTCTGCCTTCACGCACCCACAGGTCCTCTCTGCACACAGAGACACACACATACAAACACAAACACGCATACACAAAACCAGACACACAAACACATGCACACTGATATGACACATTCACAGACCACTAACAAACTTTAACCTTAACTTGACCTAGATGTAGCCAAACAGGAATAGCAATAATAATACAAAAAAGACAATATACTGTGATATATGTACCCAAAAACGTATAATATCATGTGAATCATTTCTCATGTTGTACACAGCCTCCTGAGCAGAGCTTGGTTTTTACCTCTGCAGCTTGTGGTCTTTCAGTATCCTGCAGTTGATGAACTGGGTGATTGGAGCATCTGACACTGATTTGTTGGACGGCATTTTGTTTTGTGTCTCTGCAAGCAAGTGGAGATGAAGCTGCTCACTGCTAACTTCACCCGCTCGGCTTCAGAATCTGTGAAGTAACGTTTAAAAAATGTTAAGGTTTTTAAAAATGTTTACATCCGGCCTGCAGTTGCCCTGTAGAGTCTTCAATAAGCAGATCAACATAATTTCTATTAGCAATTTTTTTTTAATAAGGACAAATAAATGTGAGCAAACATTAACAGTTGTGACATCTGCAGCTAACAGGAGCCAACAAAACCCAAAAGGAGCCCTTTGGCGCTGATAGAAGGTGACTGGAGCTAATATAAGTTTTCTGCAGCTACATGAGCTAACAGGTGCTATCAGAAGCTAATGGGAGCCAACAGGATTTTTGTGCAGCTATAGGGGCTAACAGGAGCCATTTGAAGGCTAACATTTAACAGGAGCTATTCACAGCTAACAGGAGCTAACAACAGGAGCTAACAAGAACCTTTAAGTGTCAACACAAACCAGTGGAGCTAGCAGGTTTTTTGTTTTGGTCATAGGAGCTAACAGGAGTCATCAGGAGCTAATGGTAGCTATCTGGAACTACCAAGAGCTAACAGTAGGTGACGTGAGCGATCTGGAGCTAAGACATGCTCCCTGGTGATAAGTGGCAGTAACTGGAGCTAAAAGGTGCTAGCAGGAGATAACCTCAGCTAACTTAAGTTTTCCTGGAGCTGAACAAAGCTAACATGAGGTTTCAGAAACTAAGTGGCACTAACTGGAGCTAAGAGAAGTTAATAAGAGCTACAAGAGCCAACAGGAGCAATCTGGAGCTAATAGGAGTTACCAGGATCCACTAGAGGCTAGCTGCAGCTAACAGTTGCTCACTGGAGCTAATAAAAGCTAACAGACTCCTTCAGGAACTAACAGGAACTATGTGGAGCTAATAGGTGCTACTAGCGGCAGTGGCTGCATGACAAGTTCAAAACTTATTCAGGAAACTTGTAGTTCACTGTTGTTGTTATCATTCATATTGGGTCAGTTTGCTGTGAGTTTTAGTTGGTGGTATTTTATTATTATGAAGTTAATTTTGTGTTCTTTTTAAAAACAGCCCACTGGTTTTTTGGCCTCTCTCTGATCTGTATGTTTTACTACTTTATTTTGGGTATCTTTGTGAAATTCTGAAAAAAAAGAAGGAAAAAGAAGAAACTGAACTTTATAAACTGGTTGGACAAACTGAGTGATTTAATGCAGGGAAGTATGCTCAGATCTTTGCACTTATGTACAAATATCACACTGCAAAAATACTCAATTAGAAGTAAAAGTTCTGCAGTTAGCATGTTGTTTAAGTTAAAGTACAGAAGCTAAGGCTGTAGAAAAACCACCAGTTTGAACACTATCTCTGGTAATGAAGATCCAAGAAGAGACATCCTGCAGGATAACAGATGAAGTCTTATCACTGTGGGTGCAGCAGCTGACTTTGACCTCTGATCTTCTTTCTGCTCTCAGTGTCTGATGTTGCAATAAAGACAGTGTCAGTTACCTGTCTGTCTTCTCCGAACTCCTGCAAACAATTGGGTCTCTGAGAGAAAATGCATGACACCAAACTCCATTCAGAAAACAGTCGATTTAAGGCGTACTCAGCTCTGACCTCCTTTACATACCTTTACAAGCAACGTCGTGAAAACTCAGAGAATCGGCAGAATCCAGGTGTCAACTCGGCATGTATTCAATCCACAGTGCTACACTTATTATAATAGAAAATTAACTTGTCAAACCGTCAGCACGACGCTCCACCGCCTCCAAAACACTGAAGAAAGTTACATTAAAACGCTGTATTTTTTAATCGAGTACGGAAGCTGTGCATTCCCTGCAGCTATCTTTTTTTTCCAAAGCAGCGTTTTACGGCTTTAGTTCGTCTGGTTGATGATCCAGAAAAAGAGTTGAGCTGTCAGAACAGAAACAGAGGAAACGGGTGGAGTCATGTGACTGAGCTGCAGGTCAGCTGATCAAAATAAGCGTCTGCTGACACAGCAAGAAGTCTGAACGGTCACAGCTGATAAGTAGCATTTACGAGCCAACACCTCTGATCGTGGCAATGTGTGATACAAAACGAAACAGAAAGTAGAACAAAAAGGTGGAACATCTGTGTACTAAAGTGAAGTATAGCTTCATAGAGAAAAGGTTTATAAACTGTGACTCATGGGAGACCTAAACCACCTGAAATAATAGAAGTAAAATTAAAATAAATTGTTTTTTAATTGCAAATAAAAAGAGAAACAAATACATAGAAGAAATATCTATGTGTAAATATAAACAGTAAATATAAAAAGAAATATATAAATGAAGAAATACATGTGTAAATATAAAAAAGATTTTTTAGAAGTGTAAATAAAAAAATGGAGAGGAAATATCTATATCTAAAGAGACATAAATACAACAACCGTTGAGTATGTAAATGTAATAAGAAATCAGTAAAAGAACAAATAAATAAATGTGTGAATAAGAGATAAACAAAAAAAATCCTATTCTTTGCTCCTTGAAGAGCTGAATAACTGAATTAGCTGAATAACAAAAACAACAGTAAAGTGTAAGAGATAAATAAAAATATAAATGTTAAAAAATGATAGAAAAAGAAATAAACTGATCATTTTGGAGAAAAGCTTACAGTACATTATATGATATATAGATATGTAGTGACTCCTCAGGGTGCTCAGACCCGCTCTGTTGTGTAATTAAACGCATTTCCAACCCTGTCCAGAGGAGGGAGCTAAAATACTACATTTGCCCCATAAACACAGACCTCACTGGACTTCTACTCCTTTACTGAGCTGTTTGAACTTTCTGATGGGAGTCTATCCCAGCTGACTCAGGCTGAAGGCAGGAGACACCCTGGACAGGTCACCAGTCTATCACAGGGCTACACTTAGAGACAGACAACCAAGCACACTCACATTCACACCTACGGACAATTTAGAATCACCAATTAACCTCAACATGTTTCTGGACTGTGTGGGAGGGAGCCGAAGAACCCAGCTCTCATGCTGCACAGGGAGAACATGCAAATTCCACGCGCAAAGATCCCAGGCGTCCTCACCAGGAAGTGAACCGGGGATCTTCTTGCTGCAAGGCGCCGGAGCGAACCACCGTGCAGCCCACCAAAAAGATACACAAAACAATAACAAAGAAACACAAAATGAGCTCAAAGACACAAAAAGTGACTGTTTAGAGAAAAAACAACAAAGATGACACACTCAAAATGCCTCCGTGCTTCACTGTCAGGACAATGCATCCACTGTGGTGGTCCTGGTCAGGTTCATACCAAACATGCTGGAGTCCATCTGAGCCCAATTTATCCTGGTCTCAGCCCACCAAGAAATGTTCTTCCAACGTTTCATGTAGTTTAGGGATAATCTACAAGTTTGTATTAAACAGAAGGCATGTCTTTTTTTTGGTTGCTGTCCATCAAATTGATGTTATAGAATGTCATCTACACTGTCTGAACTTCACTGAAACTTTAATTTCCATTAAAGTCTGAAGCAGCTGCTGTCTGTCTTTCACAGCTCGGTTATGGAAGCAGTTCACTGTCTGTGGAGTCATTTTAGGAGGACGACCACTGCAGCTCTGATTAGCGATACTATGGCTCCTTCTATAGCTCCTGATAACTAGTGACACTGTGTTTCACTGATTTTCAGTTGGTCCTCCTGTATTCTCCTCCACCTTTGTGAAGTCTGACAATCAGATTTTTCCGATCCAATTCTTTTCCATGTGGAGCCACGATGCAAGCATGCATAGAGACAGAGAACATAGATAAAAACTGAGACAGTTCTAATGTTCACGGCTCATTGTAGAACCATGATGATGCCGTGAGGATGATCGAAAATCACAGGTGGACTCAGTTTACTTTCAGTCACAGCTGGATTCACTTTGGTTGCACAGTTTGGGGCCTGATCTGTTGTTGTTGTTGTTGTTGTTGTTGTTCATAAGTAAGTTTATAGGTAGAAACAACATGATGCATCTATAAATGTCATCTCCCCAACACCTTCTGCACTCACCCAGCCACATAACATCACACTCTAACCTCTGTGCTTCACTGTCAGGACGATGCATTCACTGTGGCAGTGCTGTCATTGTGTCTTTCTATTTTGGACATTTTAATGCATTTTTGGTCAGTTTTCTCTTTTCTTTTGGACATTTTGCTGTAATTGTATATCTTGTTTTCGATATTTGAGATTTCTTTTGGTGTTATTCATCATACTTTCGACATTTGAATGTTTTTTTGTTCATTTTTCATTTTATTTTGGTTATTTTGTCTTACGTTGTACATTTTTGGTCATATTCCCGTCCTTGTGCCACCTGAGCTGTGAGGTGAGCCACTTGGTGTTAAAGTAAAACTCTAGCTGAGCCACACTACCAGAGATCGTCCCTCCTCCCCTGCAGCTCCAGCCCCCTCCTCATTCCTGAAAGTCAACAATAAAGCAGGTTTCCAGTAAGCCGGATACCTCCCCACGTCCTGCCCATCCCCATGGAGACCACTACGAGGGCCTGCAGGCCAAACCGGGCCACCCGTGAGCCGAGAGGAGCCTTAATTTACTGAATATGGATCAAAATGTGAATCCAGTGTAAAGTGTTTCCTCAGAGAAAAGCCTTGGCAGCCGCTGAGCTGCGTGTTTGGTTGTAGAGCTCTGGGATATTTTACGGCGTTGCTCTTTTGTGAGTCGTGACGTCAGCGTTCCTCTGAGTGACACAGTAGCTTTGTTTCTGAGTCGCCACATCTCATTCACGGCCGCTTAACTCCTGAGTCGAGCTCCTGATTCCTTAATCCGCTGCTTTTTAAGGCTGTTTGTCTGCTCGGCTCAGAGGCCACGAAGCTGCTTTTTGTCAACTGTTGACTTTAAAACATGCAGAGTGGCTGATGCAGAGGAGGGGCTGCCGAGCAAGGTCACGGTAAAGGTCGGTGGAGGGGGCAGAGGACGCCACGAAGACGGGAAGGAGTTAAATACATTAACCCACATAAAAGTTTAGGCATTTTAAGTCTTGTTTGCATCTTGTGACTTATTTTGTTCATTTTAACTCTGGTTTGGCTAATTTTTTATGTTATTTTGCTCATTTAGAGTGTCTTTTTGCTCATTTTGTGACTTATTTTGACAATTTTAGGTGATGTTTTGCTCATTTTGAGTGTCCCTTTTGTCACTTTGCGTCTTATTTTGGATATTTTTGGGTCTTATTTTGGTCATTTTGTGTTTTATTTTGTTCATTTGAATTCTTGTTTGGGTCATTTGGGATTGTATTTTGGACATTTAAGTCTTGTTTTGGTCATTTTAAATGTCCTTTTTGGTCACTTGCATTTCCTTCTGGTTGCTATTATTATTATTTTGTGTGTATTTGTGTCATTTTTCGTGTTTTTAGGGTCATTTTGTGTTTCTCTGTGGTTGTTTAGACTTTGTTTGTGGTCAATTTGTGTCTCATTGTAACTATTTTTCATCTCTTTGTGTCTCTCTTGTCTCCTGACCAGAACTACCAGAGTGAATGCGTAGTCCTGACAATGAAGCATGGAGGTGGCCAGGTTTTGAACATTTTTAATGTCTTTAAGTCATTTGGAGTGTCTTTTTAGTCATTTTGTGTCTTTTCTTGACATTTGAAGTGACTTTTTGGTCATTTTGCACCTTGTTTTGGACATTTTTTGTGTATCTTTGGTCACGTCCATCACTGTCTGGTTGTGACTATCATTCTGGTCATTTTGTCTCTCTTTGGCATCATCTTCATCTTCTGTTAGACACCTGCAGTGAGTCGATTCCTCCCTGACCAAGCTGAAGTTTGTTTTTCAGAGAGATGCTCCATCCTCTGGTTTGCAGGATTCATGCTGCAGCAGGACAAACTCGCCTCAGAGCTTCGACCTATAAGCCAACTGAACTTTCCTCCACACGGCACTCTGTGAAGGTTCGAGGACCTCTGTTGTCACGGTTACAACAATAAACACTTCCTAGACACTTGTGCTGATCCAGTCAGGAGCTCGGTAAACAGCTGGAAGTCTGGATTAGCTGAGGAGGTGTTGAAGCTGACAGCAGATTTAGCAGATTAGTGCTGCAGCAGAATCAGGTGATGGAGTCCTCAGTGAGTCTCTGTTTGCTAATCGATTCAGCTTTTTCCCACCAAGACGTGTTTACAAACCATCCAGAGGTGATCATCTGCACGACTCTGATCTGAACTCTGGAACCAGGCTGAGAGGAAACATAGGTTTGGACATTCTGAGTGTCGTTTTGGTCATTTTGCATCATATTTTGACCATTTTAAGCGTCCTTATGGGTATTCTGAGTTTCCTTCTGGTTATTTTGGGTCTTGTTTTGAATATTTTGTGTCCTTTCGGCCATTTAGGGTCTTGTTGTGGTCATTTTTAGTGTCTTTGTTAATTTTAGATCTTGTTTTGGTCATTTTGTTGCATTTTGGGTCATTTTAAGCATCCCTTGGTCATTTTTTGTTGTTTTAATGGTTATTTTACATCTTGTTTTGCACCTAACTTTGGACATGTTCAGTGAAAATGTGTGATTTTAAGCTTAGATTTGGTTAATTTTCCCAAGGTCACAGATTGGTGACAAAATAAAATAAAATAAAAAGAACAGGCCAAAACTGTGCATAAAATCCACATCAAAAATCTGTGTTTTTACGGTAATTATTTTGAAACTGGGAAAATCTGTCAAATGTTTAAAGAATACTATTTTTTTTTAAATCCTTAATTACATGATTTTTCTTTCAAATAACAGCAAATTTCTGATATTTTTGCTGGTTTAAATGTGTAATTTTATGGTCAAATGTTATACTTTTTTCCCCTTTGATTTTAATGGATATTATCTGCAACTGTTTAAAATGTAGATTTTTTTTTTTTCCAGTGTATTAAATAGATATTAAATACAACATTGACTAAAGCTCGGCCTGTGCAGAGGGTCAAAAGCTGAATTCTTCTGGAAAACTCT